TGATGGTGGGCATTTGAAGAGTAAATGTAATTTTTAAAATAGGATAATTCTTATATAGTCGGAGAAAGTAATAGCATTTAGTGGTGTGTAGAAGTAGTGCTGTAGATCCAGTATATGTGTATTGTAGCGTCAATCGTATCCATAGCTCAAAGCTGATCACAATATTGTACCTTTTTTTTTTAGAAAAAAAGGAAAAGGGAAGGGAAAAAGATGAATGAATTTGGAGGTATTTGGATTCAGTGTTTGATTACTGTGTGTGCCTTCTCCTCGATCATTGTCTACTGACAGACAGAAGGGCGTTAGGTTGGTGTGAAGATAGGTGAGCTTGCGCCCTTCTGGCTCTCAGTAGAGAGCTTATTGTCAGCGAAATCGGTGTGATTATTGTTTGTGAAATTCCTCTTCATGTCATATACCATTATAGCAAGCTTGGATGGTAAAGTTTTGCTGGAGGAAATTTGCCTGAAATGTACAACTGTAATTGCCAAATACAAGCTGCTTTTAGTTTTCTGTTTGAGAGAACTGAAGATTAGAATAAAATGAATTGACAATTAGGTATAATAGCATCATGAAATATGAATCTTATTATAAATGGATTACTGGTTATCTGTCTACTAGTACATGTACTTTACAATTATTCACAGCAAATATCCATTTCGGTCTTACACCCACAAAATTTGCACTTTCAATTTCACTCCAACTTTCTTCAATCGATTCTAAAATGTTCACTAACAATACCTTGCTGAAAAGTACTTTTTTTTCTTTATAATAAAATAAGAGTATAAAAATAATACAATTTGAGTATGATCAATCTTTATCAGTGTCAATTCCCTTTCATTTTCAGTCTTGGCAGAAGCTTTAACTAAATTTATTGAAAAAAAGAGAGACATGAAGTTGTAAACCTTATTCATGACTTCATCCAAGCTCAAACTTATTAGAACTGTCACTTTTAGGATTCATTTTGCTTTCATATTGAAACTTGTGGAACATTTTCTTCATCACAACAAATCATATAACTATATATAAATGTATCACTAAGTACGGGACATGCCGGATAATTATACGAAAGCGAAAGTGGAGAATGCAGTGAAAGTATACCTACCTTGTTGTGTGTTTGTCGCTAAAGCGTTTCATGACTGTAATATTTGGCGGAAATAAATTATGTGAAATAAACTATTGTGTGTCAAAAGAATTACTCGGAATGTCTATCTGTGTCTTCATTTTGTGATGATTTGGATTCTGCAAGAATTAAATCTGATTGAAAGTGGTCTAGATGGGAGTATAAAGAAACCATTTTTGGTTGTATTATCTGACAAGAGCAAGAAAGGTGTTAATTCAATATTCTACTTATTTAAACATATTTGTGGCTTACACCTCATACATATTGAAAAACAAGTCAGAAAAAATCTTGGAACCAGCAGGACTTGAACCTGCATCTTCTGCTTGCCGGGCTTCCTGGGTGTAAGCCACAAATATGTTTAAATAATTGAAATTTCTCCCAGGAAGCATTACATTTATAAAAAATATTCTACTTATCGTAATAATACAAGGCTAACACCCTTCTGCTTATCATAGATTTGACTTGGCCTAAAGGTTGTTTCAATTATAAGAACAGTGAAACCTGCGCTATATAGCAATCACCTGTGTAGAAGAAAGACCACCTTTCTATAAAGACCATGGCCCGTTACATGAAACTTCCCATTGATGGTTACTTTGCTATCAATATTAACTACCATGGCAACATCAATCAATAACCAATCAAATCATGGTTTCCATGGAAGTTACCATTAATGGCAGAGTTACCATCAATGCTAGTTCTATGCAACGGTGCCCAAATGTTTTGTTTCCTTTTAAAATTATGTCCTATTGCAACATATACTCAAACAACCACATCTACATAGACTACCAGCAAAATAAAGTCCAATTTTGATGTCTCCCTCGAGTGGTCTTTATAAACAGGTTTCACTGTATCAAATATGCTTTTTCATGCAAACCAAACTACTATACAGTCTGTATACAAAGACTGCTGTCATGTGACTTAGCCGTGTGACCACCACCTCGGCTTGACTGCATTGATTAATAATTTGCACTCCAATCTCGCAGGTAATCCAGTTTTCAAATGAGCTCATCTCAAGATCGTAAACTCAGGCAATCAACAGAAACTGTGTAAAGGAGAGATTAACTTAAAAATCGTTTTTTAATCAGCACTTTGTGTTCATACACATATCAGCATGACATTGAGATGCACATATATGCACCTTCTCCATATTTTCATACATTTAACCAAACACACATGAAACTTAAACATTGATTAACATAAAAATGTGTACATAATTCATGAAGAACTTTAAACTGATTTTTTTTTTCATTCCATAAAAACCATTACTTCAAATCTAAAGCTCATATTGAGTTCTAAAATTTGAAGTAATGAACTTCTATGCAATAAATGAAAATTAATTCTTTCTTCATAATCAAATGACCTGTTTCAGTAGTTTTTCTACTGACGGTGAAGAAAGAATTAATTTTCAATTAAGATTAGCAATAAGATGAACGTTTTCAACATGTACATGTGTTACATAACATTTTTATAAACGTGGTGCTTCGTGATGTATATATATATATATATATATATATATATATATGACTGTCTATAATGCAATTCAATTACCAATTACTTTAAGGCGAGCAATCATAAAGAATAATACTAAGTACAAATTAAAAAAGATAGTAATATATTACAGTTTTATCTATCAGTCTATACATGTATAAACAAGTCAAAAAGATAGGAAGAAATTTTCGATGAATTCTATATCAAATTAAAAACAATCAAACAACAAACGAACAAACAAACTAGAGATAGATAGGAGAGGGAGAGAGAGCAAGAAAGAGAGAGAGTAGCAGTGAAATGTACAGTGGTCATGGATTGCTTAAAATGGCAATGTGTGAAAGAGAGAGAGAGAGAGAGAGAGAGAGAGAGAGAGATGGGAGAAATCTAATGTGATCACAAATTTCTAAAATGGCAAATCAACTTGTCTTTTCAAATGTGCAAATAAAGAGAAAGTGTGTTTGAGAGAGAGAGAGAGAGAGAGAGAGAGAGAAAAGTAAGAAAGAAAAATACATACAATATGCTTACACATTACATAATATGACATCCCAGCTAACTTTCAGTGTTGAAATACACTGCCATATATTGGAATTGTTCTATTTACAATAGCATTGCAATTTTCCTTTCATTTTGCAATAAAAGTTTATTTGAAGTATATCACACAACAACAATATTTTAAAACGCTAAAAATAAATACTTGATACTACCTACTGCTTAAGGGCTTGTTCAGATATAGCATGGTAAACTGCCATAAAAACAACACCACATTTTCCATGTAAATGAATGTCAATTTTGCACAACCAAGGACATGCATACATTCACTGAGCTCTGTGTTATAACTTATAACATACAGAAATGTGCAGTGTATTATACTTTATAACATAACATCACAATAAAAAAAACGCATCGTTTTTGCCGCGTCATATCTGATTAAGCCTGATATGTGTTTATTAATATCATATAGGGGGTGTTTCACAAAGATCCTAAGTTGAACTTAACAATTATGGAAAGCCGTTGGCATCTATGAACATCTTTTGTAAAAGTTATTTTAAAAAGCATAAAATGTTGATTCAAATCATAAATATTTTTTATTACCAACAGGGATTTCATGTTCTTGATGTGGAATTTATAAAAAGTCTAAAATACTTAAATTTTTGCTTTTGAATATATTTTATTTTAAGGCTACAAATGGCTCTCCATAACATTGAAGTCCAACTTAGAATTAAGTTTGATTTAGGATCTTTGAGAAACACCCCCATGGTGTAATATAGGAATCAGCATTTTTGTTCATGTACCTAGTACGCAGCCAGTGACTACTTAAACCTAGATCCAATTCAAGAAGAACTAGCAATATCATGTCATATAAAGAATCCATACATGTCTTCTCATTATCAACTTGAGTCTGCTGGGTAATGTGACCATTTTAGATGTAGAAAAAGCCAAATCAACTGTGGATCGTAGTGACATGCATCTGACAAGTCAAAAGACTGTCCCTGATTTCAAACAAACTTGGCATTTTCTTGCTCTCAAAAGCATGCCATATGATATCCTACAATTTAAACTCTACCATTCATATATGACCATTTATAATGTTGTTCAGAGAGATTTTCAATTTATACAAAAATTATAACTTATGATATTGCAATTTCTTTCAAAGTGGACAGCAGTAAGATAATATAGCGTGCAGACTCAAAGCACTTTTGTATATGAGCAGTAGTGGAATAACACACAATTTTTTGTTTTAATTTCGTGCCGCTCGGATTAGCGAGGCATCATTGATGGAACCGTTGTATGATGACTTGATACACGTATTTCTTGTATATAAAAGGCTCAAGCAAAAAAATGGTTACGGCCCATATGACAGACGGCCCATACGACCGAAAGCCTAGAGACCGACAGCCCAGAAGAACGACATTATCGGTCTAAACTCTAAAGTAATGGGTCTTCTAGCCACCTTTCAGAGGGCTCCTGCAACTGATGGCCCACGAGATCAACATTTGCCTATCAATAGAGAGTGAAATTTGCAGCGAGTGTTTTCAACCTTTTCACACATTATGGTGTACCGGGATGAAATTAGTGAAATACAGAAGCACTGCATGTTCTGTACACCTTGCACAATTCAAATCAAAACTGATTATCAATCTAAGTGCAAATAAGATTAACATGTAGAAAATAAAGAGTAATAATAAGGCCTAAAACAAAAAGATGTTGAATTGCCCTTTGCGACTGACCCACAAATTTTGAAATCAACGGTCGGCTTTTTCAATTTTTTTTTTTTTAAACCGGTTTTTGGGAAAAAATTGTATTTTAAAGCATTCAAAACTGAGAAATATCAGCCCAAAGAGGGAGTTTAAAAAAGAAAAAGATTTCTGACTGACCGACCCATGTTTTGGCACCTTAAAGGGCAATACAACATCTTTTTTTTTAGGCCTAACTTCCTTGAATAATATTAAAAATATTTACCTACACAAGATTACTTACATATATTTTCTTTGTCATGAACAGATAAAAAGTAATACCTACGTTGGCCAATGGTAGGATCCAACAAATATATCATACTCATAACGCAGGAAAGTTCCATTTCATTGCAAGGGGGTGTCCATCCATGTTCAACCTTGGATGAGGGGTTCCTAAATGTGAGAGTTATCGTCATGTCCGTAGTAGTACCATGGTAAGGAGTCCTGGTAAAGACATGCAAGAGAGAAGGGAAAAAAAAGACTGATTGTGAGTTTCTGAATTATTCTCCAAACAAGAACCATTGGAAGCATAAAAAGATACAGAGGAAATCTTTATTTATTTTTTATTTTTTAGAACTTGTCAGAGAATATTGGAATAGAAAGGCTCCCCCTAAATCTAATGACCATTTTTTTTTTTAGCATTTTGCCACCCTACCCCTCACAAAATCACAGATTAGCCCCTGGATAGTATTGCAACAAACAATGTTTCTAATTTTTTGACACTGAAAAAAGAAGAGAGAGAGAACAAGAAAGAGAGAGAGAGAGAGAGAGAGAGAAAGAGAGAAAGAAAAAAAGAGGGGGGGGGGGGGGGGGGGAGAGGGGAGGAGAGAAAGAGATAGAGCTGCTGTGACGGTGTATCTGTGTACATGCACAAACCACTACTATATGTAGAAAATTCACTACATGGATAAACTAAAAAAAAATAAAAAAAATTAAAAAAAAAAAAAAAAAATTCCCCTGTTTTTCAGCATTTTAAATTACTGAATTAAGTATTTCACATAAACTGTGCACAAAGAGAATTTTTTACAGTTTTCATACTTTACCTAAAACGTAAGCAGCTATTAGTTTTTGATTAACCGTCAAATGTAAGTAGTCTGGAAGACGAGAACCCTTCTCTCCTTGAGTTGGCAACATCAAAGCTACGATGCACATCAGGGCTAACAGGACCACTGTTGCTCCGGGCCCGGCACGCCCTCTATTGGCTGAAAGGAGAGAGTAAGAGATATAACAACAACTGTCCCCTCTTCTCAACCATACTTATAAAGAAACTAGTAAGATGTGGAATTCTAAGGTTCTTGTTGTGTTTATACATAAACATGTATTTAGTGACATGAATTCAACCACACCTGTTAATTGTAGGATGTTTCAATTTTATTCACATTCAAATTGAGCACATCAGCTATAAAATAACCCTCTTCAGTGAAAATAAACACTTGGCATATATTTCTTGAAATATAGGCATTCCACAGCTTTTTACCTTGCACTTTAATTCTAATCAATCAATCATTGAAAGAAGGATTGTGCACTGTCTTTAACTCTGGCGGTGACAGGTGTAAGCTGTCCCATACATTACCCTACCCTAAAAATCATATCCAAAAATAAGAAAAGTACATGTAGGTAAAGCCACTCTGACCCCTTACTATTTTGCAAACAATCTGAATTATCTTTAAAATAATGGGTATATGGGACTACAGAAGATATATTTGGTCCAAACGTAGCTTTCTCATCATATTTTGATTATGAGAGCATTCAAAGAGCAAGCTTTTTGAGGAGACATTTCAACTATGATCGATGTTTCAAAAGAACGATAAACAAGGCTCATGTACATTGTAAAGCGCTTTGAGAGGGCCTTCGGTCCTGAAATGCGCTATAAAAGAATGAACTATTATTATTATTATTATTATTATTATTATTATTATTTGTCATCTTTCCCGAACTCAACCTCTAATCTTGAGATACTTTGCTTCTAAGATCTACAGCCATACCTTGAGCAAAGACGAGATTAGAGGAGGATGGAGATGAGCCTTGAGAACTGGTATCTTCGTTGTCCTGATCGCCCCGCCCTTGAGCAGTGGCTGCTAGCAGTGCCGGGACGTCCTTACGACCTATGACTTCACGCTGTCCGTGGTGGTAGAGGTTAAGGCGGAACTTGTCTCTTTGGCCGAACCCTGTTTCACTAAGTTCTTTGATCCGAATCAGTCTGTCAAGGAACAATTTTGTATGTTTTTTTTTGTTTACTCAGGCAAGTCCAAGTGGTTCTATACCTTAAAGGGATCTGGTAACTTTGTCTTAGAAACTTTTAAAAAATCCTTGATTTACCGGTAGCTTATGCTGCAATGATAATTATGAACCTTTAGGTCAGTCAGGAACCCCATGACTTTTACAAGCCGATGACCTGTCTGATTATCAAGATATTTATGATTGAAAATCGAAATCAAATTGGGGAATTGGAGAAAACGAGTATGGTAAAACCGGTCACTCAAAGGTTTTTACTTCTTGATATTTTGAAGCACAATTTTTTTAGGGCTTCAGTATAACACCATGTCACAGACACAGATAACACGTAGGGCCGTGCATCTCAGATTTAACATTGTTAAATGGTGCCTTTAATGACTACATGTAGATCAAAATGTTGGTGAATCTATAAATGGATGTATTAAGTTAATAGCCCTACTAGAGCATGAATCAGATGACACATGAAATAAAATGATACTTCTGGTGTCAGTTTATTGTCATACTTCCCTAGTACCGTAATATCTGGTAACGTACAGGAACTTGACCCATTGCCCAGTGCCCACTCAGAAAGATTTATACACTCATGAAATACTAGATAATGTCATCATGAAATTTATTCCTAATTTTCATTTCATAACCTGAATCATTCTGCAAATCACTTTGTTACAGAATTACAATATGGAAATCAGGGTTCGCATTATAGGCAATGCATAACTTGGGCCACTTTAAGGATAGGCCTATCTAAGGCTCTACATTGAATGGATACGTCGCCGGACGTGTCCACAAGGTCCGCGGTTCAAGTCCCGTCGCTGCACTAATGCCCTTTGGCAAGACATTGATCTACATTTGCCACTCTCAACCCAGGTGATGTAAATGGGTACCTGGTAGGAATTAATTCCTTGAAATGCTGGAGTGCTGTAATGGCAGCTAGGCTAAAGCCGGGGTAATAATAAATGCGCCTCGGAATAGAATTTCTAGATAGACGGCACTATAGAAATGTCTATTATTCTTCTTCTTATTATTATTATTACTATTATTATTATTATTATTATTATTATTATTACTTACATATCAACACAACAGCCAGGTCTTACAGTACCTTCTGAGTCAACAACATTATACTTCCGAGGAGCTGTGCATAAAACTAAAATGAAGCAAATAAAAAAAGGGATTCATGTACGATAAAGAAATTTGTTGAAGTAAGACAAGAGAAATAAATGAACATGAAACTTTTTGCTTGAATCAACATCCTATCATTATGATAGGTGTAAGCTTTGGTTCCCATTGTCTAGTTGCTCAAGCTTGCTTGTTTCAACCCATGTCCCCTTTTGTCCCCTTTAGACATCTAAATAACAATTAGCATTCATATCAGGCAATTACAACTTTGTAGTGTGTGAATAAATGAAAGTTCATCAAGAAAATTGTTTTGGCACTGACCCTGTATGATGTATGTGCACTGGAAAAATATCAATTCGATTCATTTATTTTTTCCTCTTTCAATCGTTCATATTTACAATGATGGTACATTTGAACATATTCACATATTTATATACATACAGGTGTATAGATCAATTTGCACAATACAATACATTACAAAAATAAACGTGAAATTGAAAGAGAAGGAGGGCCGACTAAAAAGCAGAGCTTGTAGGATGTAAGCCCCCCTGTAAAAGTAATTATTATGAATTATTATTTTATGAGAAGAAAAAAACAAAACAATAACAATAACTGATTCAGTAATACAAAAAAAAAAAATCACTTTTAAACGCAAAACATTGATAAATACATACATGTTTATAAAAAGAAACAATCAAAGTTGCATAAAGTCACACTACAAATTATATCTGATTCGAAAATTCCAATTTGCCGATTTGGTTCTAAAAATCGTTCAGAATATGACTAAATCATACTGGTTGGCAGGTCTGCTTTAAAGGGGGAGGGGGGGGGGGGGGAGCACAGTTAAAAAAAAATCTGTGACATCAAAGAAAAAAGGTGAAAAATCAAGTTCATTTCGGGTCTACGATATAAAAGGGGGGGGGGGCGCATATACATGTACATGTAAACACAATAAGAGGGCACAATATTTTGTACAAAGGTATGAATGATTCAATTGTTTTTAAAGAAATTTGCAAAGGGTACTTGCGTCCCCAAAGCTGCCTGAAACTTACCCTTGAATCGAAACGGGAAATCATATGGGTTGTAGATGGTCAATACTTGCTTGTGGGATTTTCGGTCATCAACGTAAAAGGCTAGCTCGGTGGGGAAAACAAAAATCGGAATCTTTCCATCTCGAAGACGTGGTTGCTGTTCTAAAGGCATATGATTGGTTAATCCTGTCCAGTTCTCTCACATCAGGCACGATGAATCAAAATACCTGGATTTGGAAAAGATATACCGGTATTGGGTCTTTCATGCAGTCTTCATGTTCCTTCATGTGATGTCTAAATGAACTCTTTATATACCAAACAAATAATTCACAAAAATGAAAAAAACACAAACAAATTAAAAGTAAAATGTAAAAGGATTTGTAAAGTGAATATAAACACATTAAAAAAAATAATAACGTTAAGAAATAAGAGGACTTAAACACGTACATGTACATGTACATGTAATTTATAAGCATTCACTTTACTTAAAAAAAAAGGAAAAAATATGATAATCAAGTTAAAATAGCGAAGTAAAATATTGAAGAGCATTTGATAATGTGATTTATAGGACCTAGACTACATGTAAATAATGAATTCTTGTTTGATATATCATTGAAGTCAATTTCAGGAGTCCACAGCATAACGGAAGAAAATGAAATTGAACTGGAAGCCCAACTGCTGAGAACATAGCATTCTCCCAGAATCTTGGGTAAACGTAAAGAGTAAAGATTACTATTAATTAAAGATCACCTATGGATGTATTTTATTAAACATACTTTATAGGTGATCTTTAATTATTCATTTGCGAAGATGAAGAAATAAAGTTATTTAGATCTGACAATGATGATCATCATGGTCAAAGAAAAAACTTGTTAACTGCAATGTGCTGATCTCCTTTTGGATGTTATTATCAGCAAGTTGACTGACTCACAAAAAAAATGATGACTCGATTGGAAAAATGAGTCATACAAAATTGTCAACACATCAATGATAAAACATAACCAACAAATAACAAATTAAACAAAACAATTCTAGAACTACAAAAAATAACCCATCCCCATCCAAAAAAGCAAACAAAACAACCAAAACAACAACAACAATGACCACAAAAAAGTATTAAGATAAACATACACTCAATCTCAGTCTATACAATAAAAAGCTAGAGTAGAGTCTAGAGAGCCTGACATGGCTGAGCTGAATTTGAACGAGAAGACAAAGCGACTTTTAACTTACGTTGAAATCAATGTGCGGGACTAGAAAAACCCAGTCAAATCCAGTGTCGAGACGATTCTGTCTAATCACAGCTCTCTCTGGTCAAAATTTAACTTTCTAACTCTAGCTCTAGACTCTAAATGTACTTGCATAAAATTGCTTGAACAATACGAAGCGAAGTAGACTAGTTTAAAGACATGAATGAAGGCAAAGACGGGCGCTGGCCGTGGGAACGTTTGAAGTATGACGGCTAGCTGAAACATCGAAAACAAAACAAAAACAAATCATTTCGTCATCATCGAAGTGCAGTCAGGCGTGACCTCGACACTAGTCTATATAAGAATACGTGCCTTCACGGTTGTTTCATCGCAAAGCATGCCGGGACATAATTCTAGTCCATTTTCACCTTCGCCGTGATCAGCTGTCCTGTTGCAAACAACGGGATTCTTATCGAATCAACATCATAATCTTGTACATAGTCCGCTATTCTGCAGTGATTTTCTTCCAATCCAGTATCATTTGTACGGTAAGAAAACCAAAGTTTGTGGTTATTCATTTTTATGACTAATAAAGCTGCTAATACGACGTAATGAGAGTGGGCCGAGATCCAACTTTAGTAAATGTAGGCCTAGATCTAGTCCCGTATGTTCAAATGTGTGTGCATTTTAAGTAGACTGATTGTCTTTTAAGCTGCTTAAGTACACTCGTCTCGTGTTTTAGGTAGAAATGTACAGTAATATGAGATTTATGTCTCATGAAATATTAATAGACTTTCTAGATCCTATAATTGATAATGGAATAGGGTCTACTAGAATGGCTGACATTTAGATAGTGATTGCAATTAGTCTAGATCTAAGTGTAAAAAAGTAAAAGAGGCCATGAAAATGATAGATTTGTCGATCTGGATCTGGATATAAATTCTGATATCGATGAGCTCAACTTGAGCATCTACGTGTTGAAGAAGTGATAAGGATTCTTTTGTTACAATCATTCTTGTGGTCACGAACTTAATATGATTGTCTTTTCCCTTATATTTATCAGTTGCAGCATCATCGAACACGGCCGATGAAACAGAAGATAACGTGCATGTAGATGTTACGAGAGAGCTCATTTCACAATGGACAACAGAAGTGTTACGTGACTTTCTACAAGGAGGGGACTCAAGCTTGGAAATCGAGTACCGGTAGTCTCTGCCTTGACGCGGTAGCTGTTCAGCCATCCGAGGTAGACACTGTGAGGAACTGGATTATGGATGGATTGGGGGGGGGGGGGGGGGGGGGGGGGTAGGCATGCAGAACTGGCCTACTATGTTTGTATGTACCTACTGGATAAGGACCCTCCATCACTAGAGGGAAAAATAATGAGAGACTACAAAGAGGGGAAGGCATATAGTTATTTTGCCTTGTGAAAAAATTAGATTTAGCCCCTAAAAAAGTGTTCCTTCGGGTATCAAATGACGACGGGTGAAACCTCACAGTTGTAGAATTATTATCTGTAATGTGATTTCCAAACCATGTGACAGCAAATGGTGTATGGTGTATGTTGTAAAGGTATTGTAAAATGCATTGTTTAACAATGTATAACAATGTTTAAACCGAGATGGACGTATGGCCCTACGTGCTACCAGTGTCTGTGATATGGTGTATTAATACTGAAGCCCTAACAAAATTGTGCCTCAAAATGATCAAGAAGTGCCTCTAAAAAGTAAAAATCTTTGTTTGACCCCTTTTACCATACTCGTTTTCCCCAATAAACTGTAGTGTTATGAAAACCGTTTGGCAAACACAAAATTTGGTTTCGATTTCTAATCGTAAATATCTTGATAATCAGACAGGCGATCGGATTGTAAAAGTCATTGAGTTCCTGACTGACCTAAATTTATCATTGCAGCATGAGCTAAATCCAGGATTATGTTTCAGAATCTGAGAGTAAGTTACCCGATCCCTTTAAATGTGTTTGCATTAAAGGTGGTACCCCCCCCCCCCTCCCCTTCTCAGCAAAAGTCCAGTGTGTAAAGTCAATACGGGCAGATCTTTTTCTTTGTTACGAGCCAGAGATTTTGGGAACACGCATGCGGTACCTCCGTTCCCATTCCTGGAGGGGGGGGGGGCGGGGGTGGTACTACTTCTTCATAAGATGTCAACTTATATGCATTGCATTAAACCTGTTGATATTGATCTAACTTGTATTCATCTCATGGTTATATTTATTTTATCAATAAAATAAAACAACACAGAGAAGGTTGTAGATGAGTACTAAGCAATCATTACTGTATGTAGGACGCCGAGTTGAAGTTATTCATGATTTATTCAAGAGAGGAAGGTCAGACAGACCTGATGTTTTAAATATTTAAAGAGAGAAAAATCATAGAAACAGAGAGAGGCATCGAGAGAGATGTCGACGCTTAATGAAAGAGAAAGAGTGATAATAAGGAGAGAGGAGAGAGAAAGAGACAGAGAGGGGAGGGAGAGATAGAGAGGGAGAGCAAGAATTAGGTGTGAAGAGGAAGATCTAAGAGAACAAGAGATTAAATTTTACAAATGTACACGTTTCCATGTACCTTTACTTAATTTATATTATAATGTAAACGATATTGTGATGGTCTTTGCTTAATTTTAGTTTGCATTCTTTCCTTTAGCTTTATCTTCTAATTTACTATTCTAATTTAGTAAATGTTAGTATAAATATAATTTTGATTTCTATCTCTTCCCCTATGTCATAGCCTCCATTCTTGCTCTCCCTTCCTCATGTTAGTCCATCTCTCTTTCTCTCTCTCTGTAATGATAACCCCTCTATCAATCTTTTCTCCATCAACTCATGATATGTTCCTCCTCTTCTCCTTCTCGTTCATCATCACAATCATCATCATCATCTCAAAACTGTATTAATCAATCTATAAGACTCTTTAGATTGATCAATACAGTTCTTATAACATATGACCTTTATGTACAAACAATAAACCAAATGGTCACAATCATTTAATAAAAAGTGGTAAGAACAATTATTCCAACTCTATGGGCAACAACGTAATCTCCATTTTCTCCTCCTCGTTCAAATATTAGCTTCTTTTTCATTCTTTACTCGTGTTACTTCTCTATCTCTCTGACTATACTCACAAGAAAGTAGAATCAACGGTTTGACATGAAACAGTCTAGAAAATGAACTAAATTTATTCAAGTATCAAATGATTTTGAATTACAGACAGCTTTCTCCCACGAGACGAAAAAAATATCTCCCTAACCAGAAACTGGCAAAATAACTAAATGCCTTTCCCTCTTTGTAGTCTCTCATTCTTCCCTCTAGTGATGGAGGGTCCTTATCTACTAGGTACACACAAATGTCTCTATACATAGTAGACGACCAGCTCTGCAGTCTGCATGCCTTTCTCCCCCCCCCCCCCCCCCCCCCCCCCCCCCCCCCCATCCATCGTCCAGTTTATCTCTACCTCGGATGGCTGAACAGTACCCCCAGAGTACTCGATTTCCAAGCTTGAGTCCCCTCCTTGTAGAAAGTCACGTAACACTTCTGTTGTCCATTGTGAAATGAGCTCTTTCGTAGCATCTACGTTATCTTCTGATTCATGGGTCATAGTGTTTGATGATGCTGCAACTGATAAATAAAAGGGAAAAGAAAATCAAATTTAAGTTTGTGACCAAAGAACCCTCATCACTTCTTCAACACTAGATCATGTAGCAGACGTGTATGCAGGGGGGAGGGAGTTTCGGGGGTTGATCCCCCCCCCCCTCCAATTTTGTTTAGACTATGTGTGTGTGTGTTTTTGAGGAAACCCCCCCCCCTCACTTTTTTAATAACAAAAATAAATTAAACATTTTTTGTGCTAAAGGGTGACCCAAAAAAGGTGACCTTACCCCCCACCAACTGAACAAAATATCGGTCTCCCAAATTTCATATTTTCGGGGAAAAAAAGAAGGAAAAAAAAAGGTGCTCTTACCACCCCCGGCTTATTCACCCGCTGGCCGAGTCGTTGTGAAATTGACTGCGTGATTTTCAAATTTTACCCCCCGGCCCCCCCCCCCCCCCCCCCCCCCCCTCGAAAAAATCCTCCGTACGCCTCCGTCATGTAGATCCTCAAGTAGAGCTCATTGATATCAGACTATTATATTCAGATCCAGATCGAAAAAATCTATCGTTTTCATGGCCTCTTTTACTTTCTTACATTTATAATTTCTAATTGCAATCACTTTCTAGGCCTAACTGTCGGCCATTCTAGTAGACCCTATTCCATTATCAATTATAGGATCTAGAAAGTCTATTCATATTTCATGAGACATAAATCTCATATTACTGTACATTTCTACCTAAAACACAAGACGAGTGTACTTAAGCAGCTTAAAAGACAATCAGTCTACTTAAAATGCACACACATTTGAACATACGGGACTAGATCTAGGCCTACATTTACTAAAGTTGGATCTCGGCCCACTCTCATTACGTCGTATTATCAGCTTTATTAGTCATAAAAATGAATAACCACAAACTTTGGTTTTCTTACCGTACAAATGATACTGGATTGGAAGAAAATCACTGCAGAATAGCGGACTATGTACAAGATTATGATGTTGATTCGATAAGAATCCCGTTGTTTGCAACAGGACAGCTGATCACGGCGAAGGTGAAAATGGACTAGAATTATGTCCCGGCATGCTTTGCGATGAAACAACCGTGAAGGCACGTATTAAGGAAGTGCTGCACTTTGTGACAAAATGTCTGTTAGTCGACTATGGTAAGTCAGTTAGATAATTACCAATGCCTTTGAATTGACTTTTTGAATAAATAGTAGTGTAATCAAGTCATTAAAAACAATTTAAAGGTCAGAATAATAATTTTCTGCCTTGGTTTTGGTGCAGTCCAGTCCCAAACGTTCAAAAAAATGTTTGCTTGTTGCTGTGTTGGTTGTGTGTGAAAGGGGGGGGGGGGGGGGCGGGGGCGGGGTGAGGGACTGTATGCATTGTACACACACATTATTAATTTGTTGTTTATAGTAGACCTATGTGAACATATATATTATTATGTAGATCTAGATTTACACTACAGTATTATTAGAGTCTAGACCCTAGTCTAGAAATAGAATTCTAGATCTAGATCTTAGATTTTGGTATTTGCCTCCCTAATTATGGCTTGACCTGGGTTCTGGGTGGGGGGGGGGGGGGGGGGGGGGGAGGCACATAGAACTTTAGCGTACAATTAGCGCATGCACAAATCGTTCATCCGATCTCAGCAAATCACAGCCTCATTTTACTAAAGTGGCGCCGACAAGGGCCCTTTATTTTTGCTATAGTCTAGCTGTTTTCCATTTACTCCATGCTAAGATATTTATGCGATGAGCAAGCTTGCGAGTTTCCGTTTTTTTTGCTTAAATTCAAAGCCACTCGAGCGGATCGGCCAATGAGAGCGCGTAAACTCACTTTACAGCGCTCAATGCGCAACGTTCTTTGTGGGGGGGGGGGGGGGGGTGGGGTGGAGCTTTTAGTTTTTGCCTTGGCCATACAGGACTAGACCCTAGTATATATAGCATGTAACAAATCATAACTGGAAAATTAGAAATGGGAACTCTTATAGTCCAGATAAAACTAAAAGATTTCAGTCTAAAATTTCAGCCTAAAACCCTAGGCTAGTAATAGTACGTCATGCCTAACTAGTTTTGGGGATATAATTATAAATGAGGTCAGAACATTCATTGTGTATCAGTAATCACCATCTCTCGATCCATTATGAGCTGGCTATTTTGTTTGTTCCGTGTTACAGGCGAGGGTTCTCATCGCGGTTGCCTATCAACCAAACACTCCTAAGTTACAGAAGAACTTGGAGACAGCCTCAGAGATGTATCATCAGCTATAGCAAGACGGATGGAGAGATCCTCACAGTCAAACAGAGTGAGTATAATGGGTTATCCGACAAATGCTCTGATGCTAATTGATCCAGCAACAATTGCTCCAAGGTCAATTTACTACATGAAGTGACTTTATAGCTTAAGCCCTTGATCCACGTTACACTATAGCCTACTGTCTACATCAAATCCTAACTCTCATCCTAACCCTAAGTCCTAACCCTAGCCTTCAAGTTCAAGTTTTACTTTCACATCTGATTAAAAAAAAAAGTACAATTTACCGTATATGCATACCATAAAACCAAACCTTAAGATAAAACATCTTCAATTTAAATCATAATGTGGTGGGAAAAAACAGAGGCCAATGGCCTATCAAGGTTATTCCCAAAGATATAACCTTATTGTAATCATAAACCTAACCCTCTATCTTTGATGATTTTAAAACCAGAGCTATTGTTGCTCTGGCAAAATGGATCACTATGAGAACAGGGTAATTTTTATGGTACCAGATAATCAAAAGAACCTCCACCAAAATCATAAGTAATGTGCTTTTATGAGATAATGGTCCATAAGGTTTTAGGAGTGGCAGTAGTACCGCTTCTCCTTTGTAGTTTTGGCTCTCATACTACCATGGTTTCTTTATTTCAAACATAGAGTTGATATGATTTCCTTGGGCACCGGAAATCATACTCATTTATAGGTCAGATCATGGAACACCAACAAAATCCTTCCCGTAGAGATTGCCTGATTGCCTTCATGGGTTTACTTCTAAGCATGTATGTGTACAAGTGTCACAACTATGCCCCTCAATATTCTATGATTTCAAAGAAAATGTATGCCATCTATCAAGATCCAATCTATTTATAAATGACCCTGCTTGAGAAGGAATGCCAACTAAAGTCAGTTGTTTGGTTTGTCATGGGGCGTTCATATTTTGTGGTCATATAAACCTTTCAGATTTGTTTGTTTAAATGAATGCTCACTCAAATGAGCTGATCAGTGTAATATCATTAGGATGTAATTTCCTGTAGTCCTATTCTTCCCCATCCAAAACAGCAGCTTTATTTTGTAATATGCCTACATCTACTACTGATCACACTAGAATATACTCAAAATTCTAAGTTTTATGATACTCGATCAGTCCTAAGTAACAGGCTAGTTTCAGATTACAGTTAGGGCATGTTCAGCTAAAAGAAATGATTTATATGTGACCCGCCATAAAAACTATCTCCAAGTATTTCTGGTAATGCGTGTCCACAGATCAGTAAAAGTTGCATGTGCAAATTTGGGTCATCTGTACCATCTACTAAGTTACTAACTGGCTTATTAGGTCAGTACCATGATGATGATCATCAAGTTTTTCTTGTTAAAGATAAAGACCAGTTATGGTCATGTGATTGCATTGTGAAAGAAACGTTGTGGAATTGATCAGAAAAGGTTGATCATCTAGCATATAAGTATTGGTGTGTACTGCAAGGTTCTGGAATCATCAAAATGATAAGAAATTTGGCCCAGTCTTGGTAAAGTTACAAGCACTGTACACAGAAAGATGTATATGGGACTCTGCAACACGTGGAAAACACGTGCGCGATATCTACCAGGTCCAAATATTTTACCAAATATATCAATTAGTAGGCGGTTTCTCGCGTATTTAGTCAAAACATATTCTTTCACATAATTGGTAATAAGAGCTTCCATTTCATTTTTGAGAGGGGGGCGTTTCCAAAACTGATCTATACCTTTAATCTTCATTTAAGATAAATCTGTAGAAAAGACCTTGAGTGTCTGGCACTTCAATACTTTGAAATAAGTTTACATCTACTGATGATTACAATTCACAATTTTCAAATGATTCAAATGAACATTTATTTTCTTCCATTCAATTTGACAACATATTTAACATCTGTTTAAACAATACAATTCATACATAGGAACATAAATATAATTAAAGAACTTGTATTACAAGGAAGCAGGCGCGAAACCTGATAAACAGAGCTTGTAATGGGTATGCCCGAATACACAAATACATAATATACATTATAAATGGAAGAAAGGAAGAAAGGAAGGAAGAAAGGGATAGCCAAAGAGGAGAGGAGGATAGAGAGCTTGAATGTTTCTGTTTATATGTTTGTATCAATAGTGAGGAAGAAAATGGTGGAGTTTACTGGAGCACAGAAGCAGTGGAGGTATGTATACATAGTTTATGCTTATCATTTTTGTATTGAAAATTTGGGAGATTGTGAGAAAAAGAAATCAACTTTATTCAATTATATCATTTAAAATAAGCAGTATTTTTACTTGTTTTATAATGAAATTGATTTAAAATAGAAAATAGTTGTCATATTTTTGAGTAGTTTCAAAATTATTTGTTCTGTTATATAAGCACTTAATTCTTTCTGATGCAAAACAGAAGGTCCTAATCCAAATATCTCTTGGGGGGGGGGGGTGGGTGGGGGTTAGACTAGAAGACGGTAGTAGTACTCAAATCAAATCCAAGGAAACTTCACATTCATCTCCATTCATCCATATGACCTTTAAACTTCATTTATATTACCTTTGACCTTCATTATCCAGTCTGGATGGGAAGAATGCAGACCGGTCAGCACTGTCCAGCCTCTTGGCCCAAGACCAGACGGGATTGGAGCCCCGGAAGATTTCCGACAGCTACGATGAGATCTGCATCCCACTCTCTGACCCTGTCCAAAGAGACAAATACATGAACATGTATAACAGCATCCGTATTGGAAGGATACTGGAAGACATTGATATGTTTGGTGGTGAGTATTTGCAGATGAGCTGTAGGCAGAGATGGTTAAACACCAGGGGAGTGTTTCACAAAGACTAAGATCGACTTTAAGTTTTGACTTAAATATGGCAGGCCATTCATGTCACTGGTTGCTCTCACCATCGGTCTCTCAATTATGATCTTTTGATATATTTTCCTTTAATAATGCACTATCAAAAAAGCTGAATTCTGTAGATGTGTGACCATGATTTGTACGTCCCTTGAGAGACCATTGCCAGTAAATGGTGAGAGCAAACAGTGGCATGAACGGCCTGTCATAGTTAAGTCCGACTTAAAGTCGATCTTAGTCTTTGTGAAACACTCCCCAGACTGGACTCTGGAGATGTGAAGGTTGTGGGTTCAAGCCCCAGCACAGCCCCTACATCCATTGGCGAAATCCTTAGGTACACTTTATACTCTGGATCCAAGTGCATGTGTAATCAATGTTTATTCCGTAGTAAGGACATTTCTTAATGTTAAAGCAGCATCACAGCTGCTTTGCTTCATACTGAGGTCATAGGTCATTAGGTCATAACCCTGGAGTGCTAGGAGTGATACACCTGACAGACATGAGCAAAACACAGTATATTTTTTTCCCTCAAATTTAAAGGTAAACATTCTTCCTTATATTTGTCATTGAATGCTTTCACAATGAAGAGAAAAGAAAGACCAAAGGTCATTTGTCATTGTACTTGTATATGTCATATGAATATTCATTGAATATTTCATTTTGTGTTTTGTACCTAAGCTTTCTCTCTTTCTCTCTCTCTCTCTCTCTCTCTTTCTCTCTCCTCTCTCTCACCTTTTCTTCCGGCTGTCTTCTCTTTTCATTGCTATTATGTTCTCTTTCATACATATATCTTTCATTATTTATCTACCTATTACTCTCTCTATCTCTCTCTCTCTCTATCTCCCTCTCTCTCACCTTTTCTTCCGGCTGTCTTCTAATATGTTCTCTAACATGTATCTTTCATTATTTATCTACCTATAACTCTCTATATCTCTCTCATTTTCTTCTCACAGTGTGGTTATGTTACAGACACAGCAAGCCAGCCAAAGCAATAGATATTTCTACCTTTAACTCTCTATCTCTATCTCTCTCATTTTCTTCTCACAGTGTGGTTATGTTACAGACACAGCAAGCCAGCCAAAGCAATAGAAGTTTCTCCTCTTGTGATTGTGACTGGCCTTGTAGACAGAATAGGTATGTTAACACATTGCTTACTGGAACCTGATGGTCCCTGTGTTAAGTCTATAGGAATTAGATAATTCAGTAGTCAACGGGTTAAGCCCCAACCTGATATGAGGTGGCGAACAGCCTATGTAACAACAACAAGGAAAAATAATTGCAGCAAAATAAAAATGTCAAAATAAAAATGCCTTTTAATCTTCACTTTTTGTGGTACTTTCTTGGAACTTATGGCATAAAAACTCATCTATGTGGCTGATTGAGGTTTGTAAGAATAACAGATGTTATCAATAAGTGATGCTGTATCTGTGGTTATTCTAGTGGATTTAGAAAAGCGGGATGAAAATAATTTAAGAGGAACAATTCCAGAAAATCATTTATGTTTGGGGTTGAATCCTACTTCATAAGATCAACATTATAATCCCCAAGAGATAACATTTTTATGCCTCCGTTACGAAGTAGCCGGAGGCATTATGTTTTCGGGTTGTCCGTCCGTCCGTCCGTACGTACGTACATACGTCCCGTTCTTGTGATCGCGTTATCTGAAGAACCGATTGATGGATTCCTGCCAAACTTTGGTGTGTGTGTGTGTGTATTTGGGTTTTTACAGACGTGTATCAATCAGATATGATTATTTACGTCTGGGGACCGACTTTTAACGTCACCATCCGAAAGACGTGACTCAGTTTTGAACCTGCGTTCTCGGCTGAATCAACTTTCGTCATGTATGTATCTTGCAGAGCCGATGAACTGATTAGATTTTGGGGTCACGAGGTCAAAGGTCAAAGGTCACAGGGCTCATTAGGTATGCAAAAACAGCTCGTGATCGCGTTATCTGAAGAACCGATTGATGGATTCCTGCCAAACTTTGGTTATGTATGTATCTTGCAGAGCCAATGAACTGATTAGATTTTGGGGTCATGAGGTTAAAGGTCAAAGGTCACAGGGCTCATTATGTATGCATAAACAGCTTGTGATCGCGTTATCTCAAGAACCGATTGATGGATTGCTGCCAAACTTAGGTCATGTATGTTACTTGCAGAGCCGATGAACTGATTAGATTTAGTGGTCATGAGGTCAAAGGTCAAAGGCCACAGCACACATTATGTATGCAAAAACAGCTTGTGATCGCATTATCTCAAGAACCGATTGATGGATTCCTGCCAAAATTAGGTCATGTATGTTACTTGCAGAGCCAATGAACTGAGTAGATTCTTGGTTCATAAGGTCAAAGGTCAAAGATCATGGGCTCATTATGTATGCAAAAATAGCTTGTGAACGCATTCTCATTAGAACTGACAGATGGATTACTATTTAACTCAGGACATCTTGCAGAGCCAATGAACTGAGTAGATTTTAGGGTCATGAGGTCGAAGATCAAAGGGTCATATATGTATATGAGAAATTGCTTGTAATCACGATATTCTGAGAACCTGTCAATGGATTACAATTGAACTTGAATTTGAAAAATTTCTTCTGTTTTGGTTTGTAAAATTGCTCTATGACGGAGGCATCATTTTCGACTGCGCGCAGTCGAATTCCATCTAGTTTTAAAAATAATGTTCTTCAAATGTATGTATCTTGAACACTTGAATTTAATTGAGTACACATTAATTGTGGCCTGCTTTACTTTCAGACATTTATTATTTTTTGTAAAGAGGTGCAGCGCCACCTGTTGGGCAAAAACATACGATAAGAGATGAAACGATCTCAGAAGGCTGAATGTATGCAGCGACGGTGAGAGAAACCAGAATATAACAGCTTCAGTGTGTAAACAACCCACTGTCTCTAAGAGTAGTTTATTGGGAGTCATAGTTGGATACTTCAACAATCCTCGCTTTCCATGCCTTCACTTGTGAAATAGTTTTAGATATCCCTCTGTAGTTCACTGTGTCAGTTTGTACTACCAACATCAGGGGGGGCATTTCACAAAACTTGTCATCAGTGACAATTGACAGTTTTTGTTATAAGCTACTGAAATCCTTGATTTTGATTGGTTATCAGCAGATTTGTCACTGATGCCTTCTTATCAATGTTTTTATTAGGGCTATAAGGGCCTTGGGAGCAAGAAATTACTTTAACTGGCGACAGCTACTTTGTGGTAACTTCAAAACAGGAATAATTTTATTCCCATTACACATTTCATCTTTCATGTTTTGCTTGTCAGACATGAGCACCATTGACATCATACCTGACAAGGATCTACGGCTGACTGGTCACGTGACCTGGGTCGGCAAAACATCAATAGAGGTCACCATCAACCTTGAGCAGGTCAGAGGTCAACCAAATGACATGGTTTGATTACTATTTACCTGTATTGATCATCTTTAGTAAGCTGCGAGTGTGGACTTTATCAAAGGGACTTTTAATAGTAGTTTTACACAGGCACTGAGGTTTCTTTCAGTTTTTGAGGCATGTGGTGCATCATCTATATTAGTTGTTGAAATTGTTGAAATTAAAGGAAACTTTGATATTTCCCCACCAACCTAAATTGTATCCCTTTTTCAAATCTATTGTAGCTGGATCATGTAATATTTGTGGGCTTTTCCTTTTATTAGTGGAGTGGCAACTTATCAAGACTTGAGGTTAATGAACCAGTTTTGAGTAAGAGTAGTAGCAAGTTGTACTATAACAGTAAATAGAAGTATGGTACAAAAAACACACGGTCACATTTTGAGGATACACATGGAATTTGACTTGTTTATTAAAGTAAGTTCATGATTTGTAAAGTCATAGTACAGTAATAGGAACTAGGAGATACATGTATATGTTCAAAAGTTGTTAATGTCTTTCATGTCTTACATGTATAACGTTTTTCTCTTCAGATGATTGACAGCTCATATTCTAAGATCTTGGAGGCCAAGATTGTCAATGTTGCTAGGGATCCTCTCAACAAAAGGTGAAAGGTCAATTTTTTCTCTAGCAAATTAGTTCCAAACTTCTGTTGAGATAATGATATGCCAATTATGTTTGTTGTTGCAAACTAAAACCCTGGATACTGTAGGCAATGTTTACAGTCATGTAAATGTTGAAAGCACTGCATTGATTATGAAATATTAATAATAATAACCTTTAAAGCAATTATGCTGCCTGTTTGATATGAATAATATTGCTGTCTTTTAACTGTATAGCATAACACACACTTCTTCCCTTAAAGTTCTGGGACCCATTTCACAAAGCCTTTTTTCAATGACAAATGACTAAAATCAGTTAAAAATCTGCCGATAACCAATCAGAAGCAAGGATTTCAGTAGCTTATAACAAAAACTGTCAATTGCCACTGATGACAAGTTTGTGAAACGCCCCCCAGAATAGCGAATCAAGAGAGATAGAATAAAGATTTTTGGCTTGCATCTCATCAGAGTAAACCATAAGAGTGAACAGAAAGCTGAAATTGGCCGATATAAATGGAAAATAAACGAACATATTGTCTGAAATATAACAGGACCTGTCAAAGAATAAAACCTTGAGTTTGATGGAGCCACCCTGTTCAAATAAAATAGCATCTGAGGAACTAACACTTTAACAAGCTCTGCTTCAAGTTATTTCCTCTTTTCTCGTGCTTTTTCCATTATATTTCTCATTTCATTGCATATTTAATGTGATATAATTATTCTTGTATTATGTTTTGCATGAGAAATAAAATCATTTGAATCATTTGTCTCTCTGGTACACCTTTCTTCAATTGATCATTCATCTCTTCTTTTTCTCGAATTCTTTCCTTTCCTTTCCTTTCCAGACCAGCCTTTATCAACCCATTGGTTGCTGAGTCAGAGGAAGAATCAGAGGAACTGATTGCAGGCAATGCAAGGAAGGTAGCCAGACAGGAAAGGTCTAAGGCCTCACTGTTGAAGACCGCCCCCGTGACTGAGGAGCGAGAAATCATACACAAAATGTTTGTGGAATCACTACCTGTAGGGTATGTACATGTATGAGTAGTTTGGTGACTCGAGTCTTGAGTTTACTAGACTCGACTCAAGTATAAAGGGACTCAATTTGAGGCTTGATCTCCTGTTAATGTGACTCAATTTGAGGCTTGATCTCCTGTTAATGTGACTCAACTTTGAGACTTGATCTCCTGTTAATGTGACTCAACTTTGAGACTTGATCTCCTGTTAATGTGACTCAACTTTGAGACTTGATCTCCTGTTAATATGACTCAACTTTGAGACTTGATCTCCTGTTAATGTGACTCAACTTTGAGGCTTGATCTCCTGTTAATGTGACTCAATTTGAGACTTGATCTCCTGTTAATGTGACTCAACTTTGGACTTGACCCCAGACAGGAGACAGTTAATTAGGCCTCTCTTTTGAAGACTTTCACCACGACCGATGAGCGAGAGATCATATGTCGGATGTTTGTTGAATCACTCCCTGTTGGGGATGTACCTGAACCAGTTTTGTTACGACTTGAGTAAGCTATATATAGAAGTATACTAGACTGGACTGGACTCAATCGCAGTTAGAAGAGACCCCCTGTTGACTTGACTTAGCTCTGGACCTGACCTGACCCCAGACAGACAGGAGAGGGCTGTAAGAGAACAAATGTAATACACCAGTTTACGGTTACAACAGTGCGCATGCGCAGACATGGGCGCCATTTTGATAGAAGGGTAAACAAATGACCTCTAGAGGTCAGTGGCTTACGCGTAAATTAAGATAGCGCCCATGCAAATTAGATGTGAGCGCACAGCGCAGGCAGTGACGCAACCATACATGCGCATCTGAAAACATTGATGACACTGCCTGCGCTGTGCGCTCACATCATATTTGCATGGACGCTTTCTTACTTTACGCGTAAAGTTTTGTTTTGTTTACCCGTATATTAAAATGGCGCCCATAACCGTAAACTGGTGTATTAAAGGAGGATACTCAATCTATCTTCATCAAAGATAAAGGGTCAGGGTCTGGGTTGAAATTCAGTTTTAGAGTTAGGTTAAAGGTGAGGGTGAATGGGAATAATGTTGGGTCCAGGGTTTGAGGTAGGAATGCAGTTTGTGTAGGATATTAACTGAGGGGGGGGGGGGAGGAGGGGGGCTATTGTCACTGGATCATGTATGTGTCCTACAACCTGAAGGAGGCCTGTTTTTACAAAGGTTTAATTGTTTAATGATTAATATTATTTATATTTATTGGCATTTTTATAGCGCCGTCTATCTAGAAATTCTATTCCGAGGTGCATTAATTATTACCCTGGCTTTAGCCTAGCTGCCATTACAGCGCTCCAGCACTTCAAGGAATTAATTCCTGCCAGGTACCCATTTACCTCACCTGGGTCGAGTGTGGCAAATGAAGATTAATACCTTGGCTTTCATCTCCTTTTCAGGGCATCGTCATTCTCTCATCGTATCAAACCAGACAACGCTACATGGATGGATGAAACCAAACTTAAGAATGTCATTATCTGCTTCCCACAGGTAAAAATCAGTGGATCAAGTTACATGAGTGACAGAATCTGATTTGATTAGACTTAAAGATAAAGACCAGTTTTGGAAATGCCCCACTCTCAAAAAATGAAATAGAAGCTCTTATTACCAATCATGTGAAAGAATATGTTTTGACTAATACGTGATCATATAAATTTTGCCGAGAAACCGCCTACTAATTGATATATTTGGTAAATTATTATATCTATTTGGATCTGATAGAAATGGCGCATGTGTCGCGCACGTGTCGCGTAGTCCCATATACATCTTTCTGTGTACAGTGCTTGTAACTTTACCAAGACTGGGCCAAATTTCTGATCATCGGATGATTCCAGAACCTTGCAATACCAAGGCAACTAATGCAGAAGTGATTGCCTTATTTTTGTTAAGCGTCAGGACAGACACCCCCCATCATCATATTACTCTAATCTGGTAAGCTTTTGTTTCCCATGCTGCAAGCTTCTCCAGACCTTCATCATAGCTGCTGCTTACTTTTTTAATACAGTACGGAAGTGTGGTATCGTACATTCATGAAAGAGGTATACTGGTGTAAGTCAGGACCTTTTCAGTACAAGGCTGTACTTTAACCACTGAGCCATCGTGCCTCCTTTGAAGTGGTGTAATATATGCTTTGAATGTGGACAAAATTTGCTAAATCTTTGTGGAAATAAATTTAAATGACGATGAGCTAACTCCTTCAATTTTCCGTTAAGTGACCCTCTTGTAGAAATTGTTGTTAAACAAGGATAGTTTTTTAATGGGTTTTTTTTCTTCACAGGAGAGGAATCTATTTAACAAGATCTTTGGAGGTTTCCTGATGCGCCAAGCCCTGGAGCTAGCCTTTGCCAGTGCAACTCTACACTCGTGAGTTTTATCCTCAGAATGTTGGCAAACCCACATGGGGACAACTTTTGTGATGTCCCCATTAGGCCTAAAAAAAAAATGTTGTATTGCCCTTTGCAACCGACCCCAAAAATCTTGAAATTTACGGTCGGCTTTTTTTTAAAAAACATTTTTTTGAGAATTTTTTCCTAAAGAGGGAGAAGAAAAAGGAGAAGATTTTGTGACCGACCAATGTTTTGGCACCTAAAGGACGATACAACCTTCATCTTTTTTAGGCCTTATAATTATATGAAGAGATTTTGCATGAAGGTTTTTCCACATCAAAACCAAGATTCAATTTTTTAAAATGATATTTGCTCTGATTCTTCTTATTCTATTTGTCTGAAATTCCTGTCCTGGTTGTATGTGCGTGATGAAGGAATCACAAGTTTTTAGTGAATTTTTCTCTTCTAATTTTTTGTAGGTGATAATTTTCATCCTGTGATTGTACAAAACAAAGTGGAAATCTGCATGCTCTGTCATTTATTGCAAACTTTGGCACACTTGGTTTACTCTCTTTAAAAAAAATGTCTCCCCATACACAGCCATGGCAGGATTCGCATAGCAGCCATCGACAACATTCTCTTCCAGAAACCAGTCGAAGTGGGGTCATTCCTCTTCTTTCTGTCTGAGGTGAGTTACGATGCTAAAGCAGAAACTTATTCATTTAGGCATGGGGTGCACCCTCATGCCTCTCTGTAGCCATACCACTGTCCACAGGGGTGATAGTGAGCACTAAAAAAAAATAGGTTTTTTGTTTTCCCGTCAACCACGCCCCCCTTGAGTAAAAAAAAAAAAAAGAGGATTCGCGGGGAAAAAACGGCATCTAACAACATTCCCCCCTTTCGAATAAGAAAATTGGGACAAAATTAGGAGAAAAAAAGGGCAAAATAGGGAAGAATAGAGAAAATAAGAGGGAAATCGGGAAACCAGGATAAAATAGGGAAGAAGAAAAAAAATTGGTAAAAAAAAAAAAAAAAAAAAAAAAAAAAAAAAATCTGGATTTTTTTTTTTTTTTTTTTTTTTTAAATCGGGAAGGAAAAAAAAATCGGGAAAAAATCGGGAAAAATAAAAAAAATCGGGAAACCGATTTAAATCGGGTTTTTATCAGGCCTGTGTCCAGTATATTAGCATTATTGAAGAAAGTTACTGTCACACTTATTTGCCGTTCTCTTTTGTCATTTCCAAGATTGCGTATACAGAGGGATGTTACATGGAAATCAGAGTTCACTCTGAGGTCGTTGACCCCCGAACAGGAGAGCATGATACGACCAACGTCTTTCATTTTACCATTGTAACAGAGAATCCGGTACCCCTAGTGTGGCCTAAGACATATGGTGGTAAGAACCGGACCTTCATGTTATCTTAGTTGTTGTCCTCCTCTTCATCTTCCTTCTCATTCTCCTACTCCTCCTTCTTGTTCTTTTTCTTTCTTCTACTTCTTCTTCTCATCCTTAACATTAAAGGCATCGTTTAACAGTGTTAAATCTGAGAGGCATGGCCCTATGTGTATTCACTGTCCGTGATATGGTGTGATATTGGTGTGATATTGAAGCCCTAAAAAAATAGTGCCTCAAAACAAAAAGTGCCTCAATAAAGTAAAAATCTTTGAGTGACCGGTTTTACCATACTCATTTTCCCCTATAGACTGTAGTGCTATAAAAACTGTTAGGAAAAACAAATTCTGAAATTCCAATCATAGATATCTTGATAATCAGACTGGCGATTGGCTTGTAAAAGTCATGGGATTCATGTATGACCTAAAGGTTTATAATTATGATTGCAGCATGAGCTAAATCCAGGATTTTTTAAGAATCTGAGGCAAAGTTACCCAATTCCTTTAATCTAAAATCCAATCACAACCCCAGCCACAGACTTTAAAAAACTAATGCCAAGAGAACATATTGCCATCTTTGATGTGTATTTATCTATTTATAGAGGGAGGCTTTTTTAATCGCATACTATAGTCTTCTGGATATGTGAAAAGCATTTTTTAATCAGTATAAGTACTGCAACTATCATTCCTAGCACCATCGCCATGACAAACAGTAATCTCATCTATCATATCCATTTTCTTTTCAGAGTCCATGCTTTACCTTGACGGAAGGAGGCGGTTCCTGGAGTACAAGCGCATCAATCAAGTGACCGACACAAGCACCGTTTCCCTGACCTTCTAACTGCCAAAGACTTGTTAGAGGCATGTTTACATTGTCTTCTGACTGCCAAAAACTCATTAGAGGCGTGTTTACACTGTCTTCCTAGGAGGCATGATGTGTTCAGATTGTAGAGAAAGAAATCAAGGTTACCAGAACTGTCCAAATGACTTTCAAACTGCCCGTAACTTGCAAATGCATGTTTGAGCAGTCTCACAAATATATATAAAGGGATTGTGTGTTCACACTGTGCCATTATAATTGTAATCTGGAAGGAAACATAGAAAGATACCGGTTCGGTCCTGCTCTTTCCTTATTAATACCTCAGTGCTTGTACAGCGCACATCATTGGTGTAGCGTCTCTATGCGCTTAGGCGCCACAGATTTATTCAACTGGCATTCGGAATGCATTTGGAATGCCCTTGTTAATCTTTCTGGAATGTATCCGGAATGCCCCCATTCTAGCCACATTCTCAAAAAATCGATGTGATCTGCGCCTATTGTCTAGAGAACAAATGGGCATTCAGGAATGCATTCTGGAATGCCCCTTTGTTCTCTAGACAATAGGCGCAGATTGCATCGATTTTTTGAGATTTGGGCGATTAAAAATCATCCCGAGACGCTGGTGATCAATCAGATATGCGTGATTTCTAATGCCTGCCAAAGTGACTATACCTCATAGGGTCCGACAGCGCGGCGCACTTTTAGAAGGAATAAGAATCATTTTTCTTTATCTTTTTAAAACCGGGTATAACATTCATTCTCTCAAATTCTGATTTTCTGAAGTTGATAACAGTGAAAAGACGTTGTCTCCTAATTGAAGGGAAAAAATATCTTGGAATTACATTTCAATTTTCCAATAAAAAAAAGTTACGATCGCTTTATTTCTTAACCGTTAAAATGAATTTTGACGCTACAAGCTGGTTTTAATACAAATATTTTCCTGCTCGAAAAAAAATTGCATTTATATAAAATAAATTGTTGTCTTTTCAAATTTCTGCCGACATAGTGTTGGAATATGAATAAGTATCATTTTTTATATAGACAGCGCAGTGCACCTCTTGAAGGAAAAAGAGTTATTTTTATTTATCTTTTTAAACAAGGTAGAACATTCGTTCTCTCAACTTCTAATTTTCTGAAGTTGATAACAGCGGAAACACGTCTCCTAATTGAAGGAAAAAAATATCTTGGTATTACGTTTCCATTTTCCCATAAAAAAGTTGCGGCCGCTTTATTTCTTCCCCAGTAAAATGAATTTTGACGCTACGAATATTAAGGAAGACAAATGTAAAAGGGAAAAAAAGGTGCTGGTAATGCTTGACTATTACTCACTCATATGATGCATATTTCATGCATGAGTGATTAAAAACAATTTGAAGAGACGATACCAAAAAGTTATTTGGCGGGCGGTATGTGAATTTCAAAGGGAAAATTAGATTTCTAGAAAGTTCATTTTCTGGCCTTTCATATGGCAACTCAATCAGGAACAATGAGCCAGGAATAACACAGCTCTGTGTGTTTAAAGTAATGCTTGCATTTCCATAATTTTTCTCTGATTTACTTAGCAGTCTCTTTATGACACCAAGTTGTTTATCACATTAGTATCAGCAGCTGGCTCATGAAAAGAGTCAGAACCGGGTATGTTTATACTGTCTCTCAAAAATGTGATCAGGTATAGTGTGCATCCTTAGCCCCACGTCTCTGGAACAAACTCCCCTCGTTCCTAATAAACAGTACTTCACTCGATTTCTTTAAAAAACAACTGAAAACTTACCTGTACAACTCCTCTTAAACTGTTGATAGTCTAAGAGAGCAGCATCTTGTATCCTCTGGAAAAGGCGCTATATAAATCCAATTATTATTATTATTATACTCTGTGATGATATCGTTTTATGGAAGGTAACATACCTGTTACTACTGTCTTAACAACTTGGCAGGATTAAGAAGAAGCATATCTTTCTAAAACACTGTAAAGACCTAATGTATTCAGACTCTTTAACAATATCGTTTCATGGAAGAAACAACCGGAAGTAGAATGTATGGTAGTCAGATAGCTGCAAGTGACTCTTCTAGTTGAAGTGGTATGTGACCTTCAAACTCTGATTTGTGGTGGTAGTATTCAAAACTCCTGAGCTCATCTTGCCCCAGGAAGCCAACACTACATTCTGCAGTCTATACTTGCATGAATTTGAAGGAATATTGAATATTTAAAACTATATCTGTATTAAAAAATAATTTTAAAAAAATAATTAAAAAAAAACAAATTGAAGGGGAAAAGGCTTTAGGTGCTCAAATAAACTCTCAAATGTGGCAGCGTGCATATCAGGAAAAAAATCCTTCATTCCTATGGAGATTTTTGTCAAGTATTCACATTAAGATTCTATAAAAGGTTTGATAGAACATCAAATATCTGGCAGTACTGAAAACAATAGGGGAAAAGAAGAAAAGAAGTAGAAATAGATGAAAAGCAGCTGAAAATGTGAATTCCCCAAAAATACTGTGATGCATTTTTATCTATAGATAAGTATCTGTCATTGCTGGTATGTTTACAAAAGTAGACATTTTAGTATAAAGATAGTGTTGTGATTGCTTTATAATGGTAGTTGGTGATGCTAAACTGGCGATTGTGAGCTTTAGATTGTTTTATGGTATATTCATGGTATTTGATTGATGAAATGTACTTTTTAATTCGTTTTATTACTGATCATATATTTTGATCAATTTTTGGTGAAAGGTTAATTTGCCACTGCGGAATTACGATCTATGCCAAGTCCATCCTGCTAGATGTATATTATGAAAAATGAAATTATTTTGTAATTGAATTAATGAAAAAAGATCATAATTAAGGAAACATTGACAGATATAGCACATAGAGAGAGAGAGAGAGATAGAGTGAGTAATTAAGTGAGTAACGAAGAACAAAATTGTAGTGCATATATACACTGTACATGTGATTTGAAGACAAAATGAAGGCTGCAGTAGGCTAATTTTGTTCTCATAATATTTATTGTCCAATCTCATGCTGCGTCTAAACTTGGATTGAAACAATTAAGATAATGTAGATATAATATATCATTTTGTTTCCTGTTATGACAATCTTGGTTATTATTACTCTATTTTTACACTTTTAAAATGTATGATATATTTATGCAGTGTATTTCGTTTCTAAGTGGTGCCTTTTTATGTAAAATGCAACATATGTATTTCATAGCTATTATACATGGTTTGTACATAATACTATTTCAGTATTTATTACTTAGAAATCAAGTATGCCATTAGCACCTCTACTTTATCTATTTACTTTCTTTTACCATGAAAATTGGCTTCGTGTATTCATAATTCATAGGCGTGAATTGCAATTTCTCAATATTTATAATTGTATTTCTTGCAATACAAAAATTAAAAAGAATGTTTAAATAGCTTAACTGTGCCTGAGCATTGTATTTTATTCTGAACGGTTATATTTCTCACACAGGGAAGTTTCCTTGCACAACTTGTAGCATGTTGTAAAGTAGAAGTCATAGCAATATGATCTAAAATTGATCACAGCATTTTTCTACTGCAATTAAATGAATCGATTTTCCACCCCCTGGATATATTAATATTGTATGTAATACTTATTGCCAAGTCAGGCAAGCAAATGTGTGTAAGGAGCCAAACACAATTACGTTGCAAGAATGGTGAGTCAATTTGGCTGTAGTTTCTCATCAGTCACAGTGACTGTCATCAAGTCCAACTAATCAGCTTGATCAGCCTAATTCTTCGGTCCATCCATGAGTTTTTCTTCAAATCCTGGACTGCGTCTGTCTATGGAGACTGTACTGTGCCATTTATCCCATCTTATAATTATTATCATCATTGCTGTTTATGAGGAGGCGCGATAGCTCAGTCGGTAGAGCAGTGGTCTTGTAATCCGGTGACCCGGGTTCAAAACCAAGTCGATGGGCTAGTGCCCTTTGGTAAGGCATTAATCCTCATTACCAGGTCCGTCGGAGAGGACCTAAAGCCGTCAGCCGTCTGGTTGCTTACTAACAAGCATTCATGCTTTCTTAGCAGTCGGGTAAAATAACCACCAGCACCACTCTGCGACTAGGATGTAGTCATCTCTTCTCGTGGCTATGATAAGCTCAGTTTGATAGAGGTCTAGTTCCTAGCCCTGAACATCTTTATCCATGCTTGGAACTGCACTTCTTCAAGAGCAGAATCTATGTTGGGAGAGTCGTAATGAGTTCACTTCGTTTTAGAGTATAAAGCCGTGCTAAAAATGAAGGAAAGAAAGTGGAAACCACCCTCTAAAGAGTACCTTGGACGAGAGACGGGAGGGATATAGAAAACAAAGAGACAAAAACAGAATACAGAGAAACAGTGAAGGAGATCTAGAGGATAGCATAATAGTTATGGCTTTGAGTGTGATACAAGAATATATTGCTCAAGCTATGACAATATTGAACGAGTCGAAGACGAGTCCAATTTTTTCAAAGCGAAAACAAAGCCATATAACATTATTATTATCTATATCAGGCTGACTAGCGAAATAACTCAATTTGACTTACAGTACCTCGAATATGGCTTTTTTTGTATGTGATATCGATATCGATATCGATAGTTAAAGTTCCTGGATGACTGAGCAATACAAAAATAAAATTGGTCAGTCGTCCGGGTACTGCACTAAAGATATTGAATACACTGATTTATTGTACCACTTGGAAGCCTATAATCATGAATATTGTGTGTATATGCTTCTGGGAGAAAAATGAGGGAGAGAGAGAGAGAGAAAGAGGGATGGGATGAAAGAAAAAGATTTGTTTATAGAGTGTTATCTGCAGTACATAACCCTTTGTTTGAATATAGAATTTGATTTTAAAGATGAAGTTGAGTTCTGGTCATGCGATTGCATTGTGAAAGAAACGGTGTGGAATCGACCAGAAAAGTTTGATCATCTAGCATGTAAGAATTTGTGTGTTTTGCAAGGTTCTGGAATCATCAAAATGATAAGAAATTTGGCCAAGTCTTGGTAAAGTTACAAACACTGTACACAGAAAGATGTATATGGGACTACACGAACACGTGGCGCAAAAATCCTACCCCCGAGTTTTACGATGTTACATGACATATTTAGAATATGAAGGCATTTGAAGAGCCATGCTTTTCAGGGAACATGTCTTATCTGATGTTCTTCCACACTTGCATAATAAGAATGATAACGCTCACAAATTATTTTTCACCTCTTCCCAGAACTCAACCTTCTCTTTAAAGTGCCATGACTTTCCCTTCTGCATTTGCAAGTATTTTTTTTGAAATTTTTTTGTACATCATGATAAGCAATAGGTGAAAACTTTGGTCTAGAAGTAAACAAGCAGCCTGCACACACACACACACACCCTCCCAGACTTCCATGTATATTTAACATATATTTATAATTGCAGCATTTCCCCTTGATTATAAAAACACATACAAAGAAAAGACAAATAAATATATTACTATTTCAACACACTACCATAAACATTAAAAGAAAGAAATCTCCAAGACCGATAGGCCTTTGCAAGCAAATTAAGACATAAAGATTTATACCCAATCATGTTTTTGTCTTATTTTGACTTTATTTTGACTTGTGTTTTGCTGAAGGTTGAATAGTACCTTAAAGCTGTAAGACAAGGATAATGCAATTAGGAAAAGGGAAGAAATAATTAAGTAAATAACAACTGTAACTTGGTAGCATTTACTATTTATTTATTTAACTGTACACATGGATTTATAAAATGCAGATATCTGAATTAGATGATCCGTGAGCTAGGAAAAAGAACTGAAGAAAATTACCAAAAGGATTGAAGAATGTTAACATCCAAACACATACTAAAAAATAATGATTCTGAAACAATGTATCTTTGTTTTATATGCCAATGTTGTGAGCAATATAGATCATTTATTAAGCAAAAATCCCTGAGTTTCATGGGGCTCAGCCCCCTTGACCCCACGCTATTTAGTAACCTGCCAGTGTCATGAATAAGGTATCAAAATTTACGCTGTTCTACCTGATCATAAATACTTAGCCTCCCCCCACCCTCTTTGAAAAACGTTCAGCGGGGCCTGCATGGAAGAGAATGGGATGATCCTGATGTTTTGTCTGCCTCCCAAATGTTTTTGCTCATTACGTCACTGCTGGTCACCATTACGTACCAATATTTATTTGGCTGGCATAATTTCAAATTTGGGCCCCCCCCCCCCCCCCCCCCCCCCCCCCCCCCCCCCCCCCCCCCTAAGAAATCCTGGATCCGTGCCTGACCTGGACAGTATTTGTATAGTATTACAACCATTAAGTTTGGGACCAAACAACAATATGTAAAATTTACCAAAAAAGAACCCCCACAAACTAGATGGACCTTCGACTGCACACAGTCGAAAATGATGCCTCCGCCGTGGAGCAATTTTACAAACAAAAACAGAAGCAATTTTTAAAATTCAAGTTTGATTGCAATCCATTAAAAGGTTCTCAGAATATCGTGATTACAAGCTATGTTTCATATATATGTTTGACCCTTTGATCTTTGACCTCATGACCCTTAAAATCTAATGAAATCATTGGCTCTGCAAGATACAAGACCCAAGTTTGGCGGGAATCCATCAATGGGTTCTTGAGATAACACGATCCCGAGCTATTTTCGCATACATAATGAGCCCTGTGACCTTTAGATCTCGTGACCCAAAAATCTAATCAGTTCATTGGCTCTGGAAGATACATGCATGACTCAAGTTTGGCAAGAATCCATCAATAGGTTCCTGAGATCACGCGATCACGCAATCACGGGACGTACATATGTACGTACGGACAACCCCCCCAAAATAACAGCTTTTACAATATTTTGTTAATATTTCAACTGAGTTATTGCACCTCAATTTCATTTGGGTTTAATCTATATTCCCCAAATGCAAAACATATTCCATATATAAAAGTACTTACTTTTCCAATATAATACAGACATACATAAGATAAGCTAATGCTTATAAGTTATATATAACCCATTATACAAACAATCAATGAGGACTGACTGTCATGATAAGAGTTGCCTTAGTCCTGGATCAAAGTTGTCCTTCATGCAGTCTAGTGGTGTCTGTCCTCTGTTGTCCTCCGCAGTCTTCAGACTAGGCTGGGCTTGGACCAGGACCTTACAGATGTCTACATGGCCTCGTTCTGCAGCCTGGATTGGAAGACGGGCGAAAGAAGAAGCCATTACAACCCTCTCCAAACACTGGAAAATATCAGTAATTCCAATCTTGAACTGAACCCCACCCTGTACCGGACCATGGCCTTCATCCTGAACCCTCGTTATATTGTTTTGATTGAACTGGTTATTCTGCATTTGAGCAACATGTAAACTTATAACCCTGTGCCCGAAATAAATATAATTGACAAACAGCTCATACTTATCAATTCCATTGTGTGAAGGAAATTCACTTCTTCATAAAAACTATGAATTTGTTGGTCCAAAAAGCAAGAGCTTATCTGGGGATGATTGGCCAGGTCCAAACCAATTTTATAGGTTGACATATTTAGTGATTCAAATTGAAGTGAAATATGGCTTTATGACACCCAAGGGAGGTGGTTTGGGAGGACCAAAACAATTTGTGACGCAAATTGATATGCCTAGACATATTCATTACCCTTGTGGAGATTGTGCACACATTGTGTGCGGGCAAGCACGGAATCCAATGACCGGGGTAATAGTATATTTGTAAAGCGCTTGGAGACATTTGTATTAAGAACTATATAAAAATTAAATATTATTATTATTATTATTGTTGGCACTCTTGTCAGGGAGGATTCACCCTTGGCATTTTCTTTGTGAAGCCCTCTTTCTCTGGTATTAGCACTAAGGGTGATATGCACTGATTAGATTCCAATCCGAGCGTGTGACATCATCTTACCTTATGCAGAGCTGTCTTAGCATCGCTGTCTACCAGACTAGCATCAGCTTTGGCAAGGAGGAGTTGAGATACAATTTCAAGATGGCCGCCATATGCTGCTCTGTGTAGAGGACTTGCACGCCCCGATCGGGTTAGAAGATTGGGATTGGCTCCATGCTGGAGTAATGTGGAAACGATGTCTTTGTGTCCATTGCGGCAAGCGTAATGCTGTTATGAAGATATTATACATGGAGGTTATTGGAAAAATGAATGATGTATGGCACAAAGATACACAACTTATCACGAGAAGAAGCTACAACTAAACTTGCAGACTCATCCATACGATACTATCTACTGAAACAATTTTATTCTTTTAAATACCAGATTAATGTTTTAGTCTTGATGTATTCATAGAGGTCTACTATAGTATTCCCAAAACATTTTGTGTCATCAAGACAGATGATTTAAATTTAAAAACAGCAATTTGAAGAAAGTTTACAAGCAATATTTCATGAATCTTCCAAGACTTATGATGCCCACAAAAATTTCCAATATTTAGTGCTATTTAATGATTATTTTCCCTTAAAGGCCGGCTGTACTAGTTCAGCCAGAAGGGATTAGACCACACAAGGACGTCACTGTGACAGGTGGCTATCTCATTAACTCAGCTCTCAATTAACATAAGAAAAAGGGAATCATGGGGGACCAACAGGCACCGATTGGGGAAGTTTTCTATATAGAGGGAGCAAGTAACTACAAGTAGGACAGTTGGGGCTTTAATCCTAAGGAAAAAGAGAAAGCTTGCCTTTAAGTTTGTTCAGTACATGTTTCAGACACCCAACCCCCCACCATTACAAGAATTTTTCAATGAGTAGAGATCAAACTTACCAGAGCAGTGTACCCTGATTTATCCACAGTATTAACGTCGCATCCTGAAGAGAGCAACTTCTGAACTCCTGCTAGGTCACCACTGAGGGCAGCATTCCAGATGCCTCTCTCCCAGTCCAGCTCATCCAGGGTTTGTGTGAGGGAGGGTGTAGGGGAGGGTTGAGCGCAGCACGCAGAGTCACCTTGATGGTGGTGTGTGTCACCCATGATCCACAAATCTGTTAGCCCACGTTCCTGTCAAGAAAAAAAACAAGGAATCAAATCATTGTCCTATATCTTTCACTTGTAATCATTTGTATTGGAATGATGAAATCTAGAATAGCCTAGATCATAGATGCAAAAAAGCACACTTCCAATGCAGAAATGTCCATTCCTCATGCTGTTTTTTCCATATAGACCCCTAGTTTATTTACAGGCAGTCTAAATCAAGACTAGACCCTATTTTTTTTTGGTTATTTTGGTATTATCGGCGTATTCTTTTTGAGAATATTTTTCTCTTCAACTCAAGTAGACCTAGACCCTAGATCTAGATCTAGGTCTATGTTTTCAAGTAGATCTAGATCTAGATCTAGTCTATCATGTTTTAAACTTAGTTTTCTATTAAATTTGTGATCAAATTTTGTTGTCAATTCAACATGGCGGCGAGAAAGTACGGTAGTGCCTACTTTCTCTGCGCCATGTTGAATCAACGATTCAACATGGAAGAATCGTCGGGGTAGGACGAAGAATCACCCCCTTTTTCCCATCGTCATCGAAGACTTCTTCAAATTATAATTTCAAGTGGCCAGCCAGATGCCCAGAGAAGTCGAGCAACCTAGTAAGCCAAAATTGTAATTACTCCCTTTGCATATTTAGAGATAATGTCGCCCATCCCGCTGTTTGAATGTTTTCCTATGCACCCGCTGAAGCGTCGGAGCTTTCTGGAGTTAACGGTACCTCCACGCCGGAGTTACGGGTCAAAGTATGGATATGATTCTGAATTGGCGCCCGGCCCAAAAGCGCTTAGAGTTAGACCCTAGTTTTACTTTAGTCGAATAGATCTACTATCAATTTTCACTTTTCACGCAGGAACACATTAAAAATGATTTATCATACCTTACATGAAGATTAACTGTTGGCTCCCTGTTGTTGGCTTAACTGTCCAAGAATATCTCGAAAAAGTTTATGTTTAACTTTACACGAATTCTTCCGTAGCTGATGGAAGTCATAATTTTCTTCGATTCTAGTTCTCTTTGGTTCGATGAATGTGTGCTGCCATCTACGATGCTGTGGGAATTATAAATGTTGACGATGTTCGATGTTCAACGGTGTTTTTAATTTTTTTGTATTAAACAAAAAGTTACAAACTTACAATGGTATTAACTATAAGTAGAATTTTGTAAAGACTTAGTTCTATCTGCCTGTCACCTATTTTCCCCCTTAAGAACTCCCCCTGTTCATTTTTTTTTAATTTTAATTTTTTACTACTGTAGTAAAAATTTCAAAAAATATACTAAATGATTTCACATTTCGCTCTATCCTATAGCCTATATAGATCTACTTGCTATTAAAGAGCATTTATTGAAGTCAAACATCTTTGGCTATTAATATGAATATTAACAAAGAATGATAGGGTCATTTAAATATATTTTCATTACTTCACAGCTGGCCCCGACAGCGTATAATGTGGTACCGGAGTGCGTTGCGCCCAAATCTTAAACAATTGACTTTCATGCAATATCGTTTTTAAAAGTGGCATCATTTTAGTCCCTTTTCCCCACATTATTTTGAAATGTCTAGAAGTTGTTTTCCCCTCTTGAAATGACACTACAACCCCAGCCTTTTCTTTTCCTGTAGAGCATTAAAAGTGCTTGTCCTCCCACACAAGGAGAAAGAGCCTGTGACCCTGCATAAAGGATCAGTACATTCTAAGAATTCGCCCATTGTTGCTATGTCAGTAAGCTAATAAGAACCACTTTGGTAATCCTAATTGAGTAACAGAAATGTTCCCTATTGAAATAGAATATTGAATCAATCCGTTTTGTGTTACTTAGCCGGATTTGGTATTGTATTCAAGTCCTTGGTGCTATGTCGGGAACAGATCGCATATTGATTCTTTAAATAACAGCAAGAGAAGAACTTCAGTACCCCCAATATTGCGTGTTCAATTAGTGTTTATGTGACCTCCTTAATGTGTACATGCAGGACGTGTTTGAAATATAATTACTAAGACTGAAATCAAATAATTGATTGCAAGGTTATACGAGAACTCGGGCTGTAATAAAGGAAAAGTCTGTTGTCTTTTGCTTTAACCTTTCAACTGAACACTGAAAAGTTCTTTTATTAATAGAATTTACAAAACTAGCAAAAGAGACAAAAGTACATGAATGGCCCAAACAAAGATAAATATAGTACGATCAAAGAAAGCCAACACAGCATTCAACGATTGAAGGATTTTATTGAATATTATCCATTCTCGCAGTCCATAGACTGAATAGAAATGGTTACAACAGTTTACAATGTATATACATGATAAAAGCAATTATTATACAATAATTATTAAAACAGTCCAAGCAATCACTGACAATGAAATTCAAATAAAATTAATCCGGAATGACAATAATAATGGCAACTATCGTTAAGTTTGATTAATAAGCGATGAAAATCTTAACTGAAACATTCTAAAAATATACTTGAAATTAACATTATAACCATTATTATTACGAAATTGGCATGCTGAAGACTTGATTTTGTGTCATTGGTAGAAATATTGGAAATATTGGAATTGAAAAAAATATTTCACTGGCTAAAATCCTAGGTGATCGGTGTGAAATTGTGAGGGTGACTACTCTGCATTTGTACGGTTCTAAACCGTCATGAGCACTAAGAAACAACAGTCATAAACATAGCTGACTCTAGCACTTGATCGTTAACGTATATCCTACCGGCATTAACTATTATGTTATCTGTACTTGGAATCAATCTATGAGGGTGGTTTAATACAAGTCAAAATACCTACAATGCATGCCTAATTATTTACACTAAAACAAACTGGATAAGAATACAAATACATACTGGTCGTCTTGATATAAGAAGAAATGTGACATGTCAGATATTTCTTACATTTGAAGATACTACAACCATGGACCTAGTAGGTACATGCTACAACTAAAGCTAACATAATATAACTATCTGATAGAGAGACTCAAACAAATTATTGTGAGATAAACAAATTCTACATAGTTACAATCAAAGAAAACGTCTAATCACCTCTAACATGGAACTGCACGATCGGGGTCCGGTTTTCGAAGCTTACAAAGTAGGCGTAAAACTAGTAGATTTCAATCATCAACAAGAGCATGTACGATCATAATGATTCAAATGTATTGACAAAATCATACATAAATGCTATACAAAAATATACAATATAATTACACGACTCTACAATACACTTTCACGAGAGACACACAACCTTTATGAATATAAATGGAAGATCAACCTCGTGATATATAACACAATTACATAAACATAATTATACAACATCTCATAACTATATAGCGGCCTCCAAAATATATGGCACCAGACATACATAAAATACATGATTATTATTCGACAAAAGGATTAAAAGTACATATACAGTAGGCTTGCGGGTGCACCGTGTGTGTGTGTGAGAGAGAGAGAGAGAGAGAGAGGGAGGATTGAGGAGTCCTGGAAAGGACTCTCGGTAATCTTTCTTGAGGATATAGTCCTCAAAAGGACTGTTTCACGGTGTAGTCTTGAAAAAGACTGTTGGTTATCTTTCTTAGCTTATAGTTCTAAGGAGAACTATAGCGCTTGGAGAAGATGAGTGGCGAGAGTGGCTCGACGTTTCGAACAGGTTGACTATCCGTCGTCATTTATTGTATTCATTACTTTATCTGCATTATAATTATAACAATAGAACTGAAACAGTATTCTTCTTCTTCTTGTTCTTCCTCCGCTATTTCGGAGACCAGCGATCCCATGGGCCGCAAGACATATAACTAAATAGGAGCACAAAGTAAACATCAAAGACCATGGGCTTCATGTAATAAAGAAAACGTCTTCTGTAAATATTATCTTATGTACATGATTATTCTAGCAATAGAATTAAAACAGTATTCTTACAACTAGGGAAATATATTCTGTTATTATTATCTTATGTACATGATTATTCTAGCAACAGAACTGAAACAGTATTCATACAGCCTTACAATAAAGAAAATATCTTCTAAATAATCATCGTATGTATATGATACTGTATAGCAACAGAACTAAAATAGTATTCATACAACCTTACAATACAAACAAATATATATATACAGCAATTACTAATACTTTATATGATTAGATGCTGCTTGTAAGTAACAGCTTGCATGGTGATGTAGATATATTGTAGCAACTTAACTACAACAGTATTCCTATAACCTTACAATACAGAAAATATGTTATCATCGTATGTATATGATATTGTAGCAGCAGAACTGAAACAGTATACATACAACCTTACAATACAAACAAATATATATACTGCGATTACTGATAATATATATGATTATTCTAGCAACATAACTACACAGTATTCATACAACTTTACAACAAAGAAATATCTTCTGATACTATTATCATATGCATATGATTATTGTAGCAATAGAACTGAAAAGTATTCTTACAACCTTATAATAAAGACAAATATATTCTGTAGTTATTATCACGTTCGTAGGATTATTGTAGCAATGAACTAAAATAATATTCATACAACCTTACAATACAAACAAATATATATACTGCGATTACTAATGATATATATGATTATTGTAGCAACTTAACTACAATAGTATTTATACAACCTTACAAAAAGAAAATATCTTCTGATATTATTATCATATGTATATGATATTGTAGCAGCAGTACTAAAATAGTATTCATATAATATACAATACAAACAAATAGTAAACTGCGATTACTGATCATGTATATGATTATTGTAGCAACATATCTACAACAGTATTCATACAACCATACAATAAAGAAAATATCTTCTGATATTATTATCGTATGTATATGATACTGTAGCAACAGAACTAAAATAGTATTCATACAACCTTACAATACAGACAAATATATATATACAGCAATTACTAATACTACATATGATTAGAAGCTGCTTGTAAGTATCAGCTTGCATGGTGATGTAGATATATTGTAGCAACTTAACTACAACAGTATTCCTATAACCTTACAATACAGAAAATATGCTATTATCGTATGTATATGTTATTGTAGCACAGGGGCGTACGCAGGGGGGGGGGGGGGGGGGGGTTTTGGGGGTTCAAACCCCCCCTTTGGTATTTTTATGTATGTAAACCCCCTAAAAAAACCTAAAACCCCCCCCCCCCCTTTGGTTTTTTTTAAATTTTTATTTAAAAAAAAAAAAAAATTATACCCACGGCTAACCTAAATAAGGTGACCTTACCCCCCCCCCCCCCAACGACAAAAAATGTCAAATTATGAAATTTCGAGACCAAAAAAAAATTAAAAAATGTGTCCGCTTACCCCCCCCCCCCCCCCCCCCACCCACTGAGCGACTTTTCGGCCGGCGCGATTTTCACATTTTCGGGAGCAAATTTTTAAAATATTTTAAAACCCCCCCCTTGAAAAAATCCTGCGTACGCCCCTGTTGTAGCAGCAGAAATGAAACAGTATTCATACAACTTTACACTACAAAAAAATATATATACTGCGATTACTAATGATATATATGATTATTGTAGCAACTTAACTACAATAGTATTTATACAACCTTACAATAAAGAAAATATCTTCTGATATTATTATCATATGTATATGATATTGTAGCAGCAGTACTAAAATAGTATTTATATATTATACAATACAAACAATAGTAAACTGCGATTACTGATCAGGTATATGATTATTGTAGCAACTTAACTACAACAGTATTCATACAACCTTACAATAAAGAAAATATATTCTGATATTATTATCGTATGTATATGACACTGTAGCAACAGAACTAAAATAGTATTCATACAACCTTACAATACAAACAAATTATATACAGCTATTACTAATACTATATATGATTATTGTAACAACTTAACTACAACCGTATTCCTACAACCTTACAATAAAGAAAATATCTTCTGATATTACCGTATGTATATGATATTGTAGCAGCAGAACTGATCATGTATATGATTATTGTAGCAACATATCTACAACGGTATTCATACAACGTTACAATAAAGAAAATAACTTCTGACATTATTATCATATGTACATGAGATCGCAGCAGCAGAACTGAAACAGTATTCATACAACCTCAAAAATAAACAAAAGATTTTCAGCAATTATTATCACACGCATATGTTTTGGAATGTGCTGCTCTTTGGACCCGAGGCATATGGATTCTTAAAACATCAGATGTCAAAATGTTGGAGACTTTTGAAAGTCCACTATGGAGGAAGATTGCAAAGATAAGTTTGATGGATAGAGTGACAAAATATGATGAAGATTTACAAAGGGTGGGGAGGAGAGAAAATTAGTAAACAATCTGGTAGGAGAGACAGAAGAAATTAATTGGGCATATTCTACGGCATGATCGACTCCGAAGAGAAATAGTTCAGGTAAGGATGGAAGCTAAACGACGAAGGGAAAGGAAAAGAATTATAATATTGGAAGATTTTTTTTTTCTGAAGTTGTTAATTTTATGCTACGCACATAATTATTGTGGCAATAGAACCGAAATGCTTTTCACACAAACTTGTCACAAAGAACATAATTATTGCAGCCAATATGACAACTGAACCATGTTTGAAACATTTCGAAGAAACATGAGTACTGTTCGTGCCATTGCAGTGAAAAGGAAACTATCTATAATGTTATGGGGACTGTTTGATAATGTAGGGTGTATCAATTACAAAGCTTTCGAAATTATATAAAACGTACTAAATTTCGCAGAAAGTGTTAACACTGCGCACATAATTATCTGGCTTCAATATTTAGTAGATTTTGTTAATAGCTTTTCTAGTCACCTTTCAAACATGAGGGGATTTCGAGAGCGTTTTTTTCAACTTCGAGATTCTGATCGTGGACATGCCGTTTGTACGTTTAAACTAACTTTCGTGGAAGAGGACCTTGGCTGTATAACTTAACCCAGCTTTCTCCAAAGCAAGACGAAGTTTGTTAGTCTGCTCACTCGGTCGTACACGCCGTCTCCAGTCACGAAGCATCTCCATGAATCCTGAATATGAGACGCTGCTGGCTGAGGAGTCTGCTCTGTCAAGGTATTTCTCTACCGTTGAATGGGAGAAGCCAAGCTGGTAGCCAAGATCACATGCATCCTTCATTACACACACTAAATCAGACAAGCTTTTTAGCATGCTGTCCGATGCAGACTGTATTCGCCCGCGTCTGTTAGTGAGAGTTATATGATAAACGAAGGAAGAAAATATACACAACATTAAAAAGATGTACAATGTAGAAAATAAGATGGCGATCTCCTATCCTACTTTGGTTAATGTTATCCCATCGTTAATGCACACCAACTCTTATTTACCTGTTTATGTACACCCTAAGCTTCACGAGTACATCATATTGTTCACGACTAGTAATCGCAAAAAGAATAAACCTTTGAAGGGTTCGTACAGATTTCATAATTCAATGACAGGCATACTGGATAATATTTGTTAGATTTATTACTTGTTCTAATTAGCATGCATGGTATAATACTAACAATCAAGGATAATGTTGCATCTTTACTGCATTAGGACCAACACATGATTTACTTACGTGTGGGCGACTCCATAATCTGGCTCGACTGTTTAGATGAAAAAAAGGAAAAAAATAATTGGGATGTGTAAACTTCAACTGTACTTTTCTTAAATTGTTATAAGTGAATATACACACTCTTAACCTTATACCAACTAAACTGTTGGGGTATAACCTTCCATTGACACTTTTCTTCGGCGATTTTGCTAGACGTAGTTGAAAAATGTATTTATTTGGGATTTGAGTTTGAAAGGTTAGTTTAAAGCTTAGGGACAGAGAAAGGATGTCACATTGGAGTGAATATGCTTGTACATTTTTTTTTAAATCAAAGAGCGATTGTAGCCGGAGTATATTTCGCTAAATCAATTCTGCACGAAGAAAAACTAATTACGTGTAAAAATTGTCACAGAAATGTTAAACACAGGAAACAGAGAGACATGTGTCTACACGGCCCCAAGACTCACACTTTTAGTAGAAATAGACTTCTGGCTGGCTACTATGTTCCATGTAAGCCAGCCTACATTTGACTTCGATGATTGGCTGAATATAATTGTGAGTAACATGATGTAAAATGATGATGTCCCCCTGATTTACCACAAGTGACTTCGATAATGTAGGCTACCATTCGAGTGGTGGACATGGTGGAGTAGGTTTTTTTTAATTATTTGTAATTGCTCCCTAGCTTGTCTGGATATTTCAGGATGATATATCATGTGAACTTCCCTCAACCGTTATTATGTCGAATTAAAGTCCTTTGAATTGTTTTATAATCAAGAGTTGACCTACCTTCTATTGAGATGGGTATCTGTTGCTCTACGAGTGTTGATGTGCCCTGCTCAATACGTAGACAGATACTCTTCGCCCCTTCCTCAGCACATGAGAAGGGCAGCTCGAAGTTTGAGGTGTTGCATTCTCCGTTCAGGAGACAATGTACAGGGAACTTTTCTGATTCAGAAAGACACCGAAGCTTCAGATCTTCCTGTGATTCCAGAGGGAACTTGATCACGGTCGTAACCTGGTAGAATGGTCCCAACGAGCTTCCCTGTCTTCTGCACATATCCTGACAACAAAACATGATTGAAAACTTGACTAAATTGTGTGCATGGGATTACAAACATGAGCGATTCAACAAACGAATGGCAAGGTCATACAAGTTGTATAGTTTCGTCTTCACGCCACTTTAGGACGCTTTAAAAACTAGATGGAATTCGACTGCGCGCAGTCGAAAATGATGCCTCCGTCATAGAGCAATTTTACCAACCAAAACAGAAGAAATTTTTCAAATTCAAGTTCATTTGTAATCCATTAACAGGTTCTCAAAATATCGTGATTACAAGCTATTTTTGCATACATAATGAGCCATGACCTTTGACCTCATGACCCAAGAATCTACTCAGTTCATTGGCTCTGCAAGATACATACATGATCTAAGTTTGGCAGGAATCCATCAATCTGTTCTAATGATAATGCGATCACAAGCCATTTTTGCATACATAATGAGCCGCGTGACCTTTGACCTCATGACCCCAAAATCTAATCAGTTCATCGGCTCTGCAAGTAACATACATGACCAAAGTTTGGCAGGAATCCATCAATCTGTTCTTGAGATAACGTGATCACGAGCTGTTTTTGCATATATAATGAGCCCTGTGACCTTTGACCTCGTGACCCCAAACTCTAATCAGTTCATTGGCTCTGCAAGATAAATACATGACCAAAGTTTGGCAGGAATCCATCAATCTGTTCTTCAGATAACGCGATCACGAGCCGTTTATGCATACATAATGAGCCCTGTGACCTTTGACCTTTGACCTCGTGACCCCAAAATCTAATAAGTTCATCGGCTCTGCAAGATAAATACATGACTAAAGTTTGGCAGGAATCCATCAATCGGTTCTTCAGATAACGCGATCACGAGCTGTTTTTGCATACATAATGAGCCCTGTGACCTTTGACCTTTGACCTTGTGACCCCAAAATCTAATCAGTTCATCGGCTCTGCAAGATACATACATGACCAAAGTTTGGCAGGAATCCATCAATCGGTTCTTCAGATAACGCGATCACGAGAACGGGACGTACGGACGGACGTACGGACGGACGGACAACCCGAAAACATAATGCCTCCGGCTACTTCGTAACGGAGGCATAAAAATACTCGTTTTGGCATTGAAGCTCAATGTAGGGGTTTATCGTGGGCCTATAACCCGGGTTATAATTATGTCTAAGCACTATTAGCATGACATCGTGACAGATATGAGTGCTATATATGTACATGATATAAGAAGCCACTAATATTAAACATACGGCATGATATCTGTGGGAAGGATGAGCTATGCGAATACGCAGTGTAGATTTCTGTGAAGGAAGCATGAAAAGCGGCTGAAAAACTTCGCAGGTGAATTGAACTCCATGAACGTTGCTTGATGACAAAGCCCAGAGTTGAAGATGACGCGTAGGGAAACCAACGATGTCCTCTGAGATATCGAAATCTCTTGATGTATTTGGAAGTAAGCTCCTGTAACCAAATGTACCTTGGAAAATACAAGAAATGTGAAAAGGAAAACAGATACACTATGAAATTTTGTACAAAAGTCAAACATAATATATTCATGAAAAACGCGCCTGTCCCAAAACGTTTAGGAGATAATTATATTTACTAAAACTGTTTACATAACTAGATCTCCTTTGGGCGATCCAACTTCACAGGCTTTCGCAACCTTCATGGAAAGTCCCGCATATAACCTTTGTAAACATAGTTAAAATTTACCGTTATTTTGTATATTTTGATTTTTATATTGCGAAATAAAATAGAATTGAATTGAATTTTACCTAGTATTATGATTTAAAATCAAGGGTGAATCATTTGGAAGTGTTGGGATGCTAAAAATGATTCCACTTTTTTGGCACATATTTAGAAAACAAATGAGACCTTTTACAAAGAACAATAGAGAAGAAGAGCTACCTGGTCCTAACTTGGTGTAAAGGCTAACACGTAAGTCATCTTGATGTTGTACCGGATGGATGCAGTGTGGAAGAGCTACAGTGGCAGGTTTGATAAGTTCTTGAGTGAAAGAGCATTCAATGACTGGAGTAATGAGAACCTCTCCATCCTTAAGGGGAATCTTAGATGAACAACGGCTAGGTACACTAAGAGTGATCAAAGATCTCATCCCTTTGGGGATCGCTCCTGCAGGGATGGATACTCTGATGTCCAGTTCATCTAGCTTCAGCTCTCCACCGTCATGATCAATGATGCCATGAGAGAAGGGGTCCAGGAAACCTGGGTGATGTTCCATTGCTGTATACGAACGGATGATACAAAGATACAATTAACAGAAAAAAGACTTGTCGGGATTATACCGGGGATTATACATGGGTGATCGTTGACTGAATGACATACAAGTAAGTCAATATAAACAAGTTTTTAAAAAACACTTGTAGTAAGCATTCTTTGATACGAAGGTGGTCGAACTATGACAAGACATTTTAAATTAAAGCAAATTCGTAATAATAATAAAGTTAAACAATTTAATTTCAAGATGATTCATAGGTTTATTGCCTCAAAAGAAAGCTTATATAAATGTCAAGTTGTTAATAATAATTTATGCAACTCTTGTGGACAAGTTGACTCAACTTTTCACTTTATGTTATATTGCAAGGATGTGACTTTGTTTTGGTAAATAATATGTAATTTGATAATTAACCTATTCCAAAAAGAAATACAAATAGACCAAAAGATATTAGCTGTAGGTAAGGACATTGGAAACAAGAAATATTCTCTCCTGAATATTATTTTAAATCATGCGCGATCCGGGTGTGCGATATTATTTATGAATATTACGTTAAGAAGATTGCTAATGGTTCTGTTTATTACCCACATACTTTGTTTTTTGAATTCATGTCATTGCTAAGATTATTTTTAATATATGAATGTGTTAGCAAAGAAAATCATATTATGCTGGTAGAATTGTTGAATATACTTTATTTTTTTAGCCTTTGTTATGTTTCACTCAATCATTGATTTGTTAATGTAAATATGTATTGATATTATGGAAATAAACACCTCGCTTGAGGATAAGAGAAAAAAAGGACAAGACATGCCAGATAGTTTATTCACAGGGTTTTCTTTATAATGAGACTTTCAACGGAACAAGTCGACTACATTTACCTATTGCTATTTCGTCTGCTGCATCGTTGAAATGAAAAGCTTGAGCAATTTCGAGAAGCCTCTGTCTTGTTCCTCCATGTCGTACCCATACTTGAAGCATTTGTAGAACGATGTGTCGTATTAAGATTGATGGAAAGGACATGGATGTGGACATGACCTGTACGATTTCGGAACCTGATAGATCAAGGCGTTGGGATAGGTCAAGAAGATCTGGAGTGGTGCAAATCTTTTTGGAGATTTCATCATGACCTGGGGAAAAATAAAAATAAATTGTAATTTGGTCTTTAATTGCCATGATTTTCCATGTTGATTTTGTATTCTCCTTTTTAAATCGGACTAAGAAGTCTCATGATTTTTACAAAAACACATACCATCCCACGTGATTCTACCATAAGTTAACTTGACTAAGAAAAGACATTACCAAAGTAGGGATTACAATTTTCCATAATTATGTCAAACCTGCATTGCAATCCGGGATGTGATAATCTTGAAGGAGCTTTGTCATCAGCTCTTTCTTCTCTTGGCTTCCTAAACGTTTGCACCACTTATGGAGGAGGTGCGATGCTAATCTGTTCATTGCTGCAGAATCGGAAGGTGCAACGAAACCAATGATGACGTCATCCTCCAGACGAAGGGCTTTTCCCAATTCCCATGCCAAAGACAGACTCTTCACCGGAAGTGCAACGCTACACCGCTCGCCCGTACTCGGTGAACCTCCACATAGGTCAATGTCTTTACTGGTTTCATCTCCATCTAGGATTTATGAAATTGAATATGTTATATATATATATATTATATATATATATAGGTTTGACTTTATATATATATATATATATATATAAAGTCAAACCTGTCTTAATGAACACCTCTCTATAAATGCCACCTGTCTATAGTGCCTTTACATAATTATTGTCTTCCCCTCAAAAGAGAAATGTGCGTTGTAGAACCTGTCCAGATAGTTCAACTGTCTACAGTGGACATTTTGTTCTCTTTTTCATGAGTGGCCTTAATAGACAAGTTTGCCTCTTTTTCTATATAGATAGAAATAATTTATTTATCGTATTCACTAACATCTTGACGCAACCTTCTGACAGCCATTGTAATGTAAGAGGCCATCCTGATGTGACATACAACATACCCGAATCTGAGTTTCGGATGATCTCCATATCTTCAGGCTCAACAAACTCGCTCTGCTCTGGTCTTTGTTCAGGGGGTGAAGTAGAATTCACTTCCAGCTCCTGGGCAGCCTCTTCTTCTTCTTCATTCTCTCCCTCTTCTTTTTCTTCGTCTGCAAGATATGAAGTATAAGGCCATGATGATCACAGAATAGGACTGCCCTTAGCATAACAATAACTTTTATTTCTGTGTTTCGTTAATCATAATAGTCAATTGTTGTTGTTCTAACTTATATTATGGCTGACATGATTGTTCAAAGAGACCAAGAGAATAATGTCCAAGTGAGTTTTTTCTTGTATATTTTATGTTGTAGATAACATCAAAAGGTTCATTTGTCATTGAATACTCTCAATCTGTGGAATACAAGAAAGTGCATTGACTGAAAGTTGTCGTATACAGTCATAGGGCCAATAAATTTGATCAAGTTATAACTATTCCAAATTGATAAGCTTGAATGATTCCTCCTCATGTTGTACTTATGTTGAGCAATAGAAGACTATAATTGCATAATGTATGATACCTTTAATGTTTTTTTCTGCTTTCGATGTGTCCTGCACAGACTCCCAAACCAGCTTCAATGTCTGCTTTGCTTTAGGCCCTGAAGTCTGAGATGCCTTCCAACTTGAGAGCATTTGGATGTTAGCGTCATTCCTGTTGTATAATGTCCGATGTTCGATGTGTTGTAACTCTGACTTGTTAAATCCTAGCTTCCCGCCAATCTCATAGAACTTCTTAGGTCTGATCTGGCGGGCGAACGCAAGCAGTGTGCTGTCAGGAATTTCTCTGTCTCATTGGAAAAAGTTTAAGTCAAGAAACCCACAAGTTTGTTATTTCGCATTTCAAATACTTCCAATCAACCAAAGATTATAATTAGTTTATCAATGTATAGTATGCGGGCGTGCGTGTGTATAATTTTTCCTGTTTTCTCTCTATCCGCCTGCCCTTTTGCACAATTGCATTCATTCAGGCTTTGTGTAAACATTGGGTTTCAACGCATATCAAAATATTCAACTGTCTTCCTGTTAGCACCCTCCACATCAACTATAATGTGCATTCTGTTTTAAATTTGTTTCCTTGGTGAAGATTTTTCTTTTGTACTTTGATTATATTTTTATTTGTCAAAAGTTTTCGCTTGAAAGTCTTTTTATCCATTTGCACGGAATTTGTTTACTTTATTGTAAGTTGTGGTTTTGCATTAAAAGATATTCCTTAAATTTGGCGGAAATTAATAGGACTGAATCGACTGAATCAACATCAAAGTTGATATTAATTAGAATCTTACCCAGCAAGCCCAATGTCTGATGAACGTAGATGAAGCGAAAGTAGACCATAAAGATATAAACAAAAACAGATGAATATTAATGTAAGAATAAACTATTTATTAAAAAAAAAATGAAATCAAACTAGTTGTTAGCCTCGGTTTAATAGGCCGAGCCAATTAATGCATGTACTTCTCTCACATTCTCTTTTATGACGTGCGAATACTAAATACGTATTATTTTGAGTATTCCACCCCCTATTTATTCATGTTTTTCTGTTGTAGAATAAAAGGACATGAATAATGTATTGTGATATTTTGAAAGAACTCAAATACTTGATTTTCACTACATTTCAGCCCTAATTGGTCCAGAGCATTATTAGCCATCAGCATCTCAAAATAGATTAACCTAAGTTAACATGAATATTACTCTAACTTCTACCCTCAACCATAAATTAGAGCAGCGCACAATACGAAATACAAAATGAATGAGGTGCCAATATGCCATACACATATTTATCTAGGATGCGAAAGCTGCTTAGATAGATAAGCAAGTGTGCGCTTGTAAACATGACGCCTGGCTGGAATGCCTCCCAGGGAGTGGAGAATGTGCAGATATTGTGTGCACGGTAAGCCTGAATCCGATGACCGGGGTAATAATATCTAATCTGTAAAGCTTTAAGAGGGCCTTCAGTCTTAAAAAACGCAATATTAAGAACTAGCTATTATTATCATTTATTATCCAAAGTTATCTCGATTATTGAACTCTCCGACTCTAAGTGAAAAGCAACTGGATGTATTAGTGTGCACTCGTCACTAGGTTGGCAAAAAGGATAACGCCTACTATTTACAACAATTTGGGTTCAATGTGGGTACGATTTCTAAAACCAGTGAATTAATCATTATTCTTTATTCTTTCCAGGGTATTACAGGCTAGTAATTTTCTTCATGTTAAAATAGATGTTTACTAGAAAGACAAACCGACACTTTTTTCAAAAGTCAAACCTGAGATGGCAATTTCTTCTGCAGGTAAATCTAAAGATGCCATGAGTGAGAGAAACGTGTCCTTTGCTGCTTGGCCGGACGATTGTCTCTCTCTCCATGTCACCAGCATATCATAGATGGCCTGCTCTCTGTCATGGAACCTCCTGTATTCTATGACATCCAACTGTTTTATGGTGAAATCAAGAGCCACTCCCAGATCATAGAACTGGTCTACTGTCATTGTTTTGGCTATTGTAAGGATATCAATATCCTCCAGGTCACTTTTCAAGACTTCTTCCACTGCCCTGCAAGACAAAGTGAAGGTGTTCTGGTAAATTGTTTTGTTGAAACTACATTAACGAAGGTATGAACAACATCCCGACGCTAATGACTTTTGGCAGGACATTCAATTTTACTTATATTTGCCTCTATAGCCTATACATCAAAGACCCAGGAAAGATTAAACGACAAGTACTTTAAATACAATGGCTCCGATCCGTGGTCAATATATTTAGCATATACAATGTACTACACAAATGCCTAACTTCAATTGAGGACCAAATTTTTCATCCATGCCTATCTATAAACGCAACCTAAAA